ACGGTTTCTCACTACGGTGGTCTCCGAATCACAGCCAGTCAGGCCATCGAGTACGCGGCATGGGGAAAGGCCAAACAGTTGGCATGGGACAGGGGATACGATTCCGAAGGCAAGACATGCTACATCTGCTACTACGATGCCGGGAACTGCGCTTATGCTGGTTTCATGAGAATGCTTTTGACTCCGGAAGAGCGCCAAGAATGCTACAGAGGGTCAGCCTTGCCCAAGGAGGAACTCCTGGGTGACACGGTGGAGCTGGCGCTCGGGCTTCTTACGATTGCAATGAGACACCCAAGTCATTTTCCGAATTGGGGTGGCCTTGAGGGAGCAAATGCGTGCGTGAGGGGAATCGAAAGATCATTCTTCCGCTACGCGTCTGCCGAAGCTATCGAGCTGATCACGGTTGACTCCCCACGCAAAAGGACACCGCCCAAGAAGAATGAAGCAGTCGCTGAGATCGTCAACAACATGTCCGCTGACCTCGTGATTGATTTCACAGTGATCGTCGATGGTGATATCTACCCCGTAGAGATTGCGAGAACCGACGAGACACAGGCCGCTGACAACGTCACGGACGATCCAGGGTTCTCCGTTGCTCCACCAATACCTGCACAGGATGTAGATGTGGATGCGCAACCCGAAGAAGAACAAGGTGCAGAAGGCCCTGATCCCAGGCAGGCGATTCGTGAAGGATTTGTCGCACAGCTTCAGGACTATGTGGGAGTGCTCGCTCAAGGCGAAATGTCGGTCGGAAGTGACCGCCTCACGTTCTGTATCGCTTGTGGCAGTGATCTACACACTCTGTCCAATTGCACGGAAAATTCTGCAACCCGGGATCTGGTACTTCGAGGCATCCAGATCATCAAGGAAAGCCTTCTTCGATATCCACGTCGAGTACCTCCACAAGAGGCTGAGCCAATGGACGTTGACACCACAGACCATGTGAGTGTTGCATCCTCGGACCGACGACCCAAGGCCAAAGCCCGACCGCGACGCGGAGGCGAAGCCGTACGGGGTGATGTGGTCTTGATCCGTTAGGAGAACAAACACAATCTCTGCACGGATGTGGAGAACCGTCGGGGCCTACATGATGCTTGTGGCGTACCACTGCAGGAATCAGGACCAGAGAATAGCCAGCGGGTGGTGGACCTCATTGAGCAGCTTTCGGGCCATCGCGACCGACGCCTACCTCAACGAGGAGACCGTCCTAGCTTTGCTTATGATGATACCATTCAGGGCTACACCAATGCAGGCTATGAATGCATCGGCGGCGGAAGGCCAATCCGGTGCGGAATTCTCGACCTGATCCCAACCAAGGGTGCAAGCTTCATCAACAATCGATGGGACATCGTGAACGAAGTTGTCCTTCGCAACATCACCCGTCAGTCAGCGCAGAATAAACGCGGATTGGGCGCTATCATGCATCCAATCTGACCTGCGTCACAGAATCGCCAGGCGCCCAGGCTCGGAATGGCTTGACAACAGGTGCCAGGTAGCATTCAGCAGCGTCATTCGATGTGATGAAGGAGGGTGGGTGCTGATCGAAGACTTGGTGAGGCATGAGCAACTATGGACCCATGAAAGCAGACGCATCACCGAAGCGGTCTCATGGTCCGATGAGCAACAGAGGAAGAGAGTGTACAATGAAAGACTTCAGCTATTGTTCCAAGGGAACATGCTCGCAGCCACGAGACGCCACAAGGCCAAGATTCGGTTGCAGTTCCTGGGAGTGAGAGTGAAGGACCCCGGCGTGGAAACTCTTGGATCCGCAGGTTCGAACATGTTGGTATCGATTCCTGACCAGATCACGGAGATCCAGAACAATGATCGTTGCCGGCACAGCCAGAGGTACCTGAACGTTTGCAACGGCTGGGTGAAGCCATGGGCAGTTCGGGCTACAAGTGGTCACTCTGCGCACTCAGATCCCCAGAACAATTTGCTTCAGTTGGACAAGAACAGGTTCGCAATATCTCCATCTATGACCCTCTTGCAACGTCTTGGAGGAGCGTTCCACGCTACAGCATGCCGCAACTTGGATTCCATTGTCACGCAAGGCATCATGCCTGGTTCGGAGGACCCCGACGGGGACTTCGACCATAGGCGCCAATTTCGAGGCAACCAAGGCGGCAGACTCCACAGCTATTGGGGGGTGTTTGCACCGTTCGATCACCGGAACGCGACGACCAAGATGCGGGTACATGGACGAGATGCCAAGCACATGCCACTGGCGGTCCTCCATGTCCCATCGCAGGACCTTGCACGAGAAGATGGACGTATCACAGACAGCGGCATCATGATCGTTGGCCGAACGATACCGTTCCAGTTCGTCAAGGAGGTATGGTTTTGCGTCCCGGATCCTCAAGATACACACTCTTTCGCTCTGGTGGAAAAGATCTACGATGAACGGTTGGAGAAAGAGATGGTGTTGGACTACAATGCATCACCATTGCTCCCTGAGTTCGAGAGATACCGAACGCCGAGCAAGATCATGGAATTGCTTTGCGAGATGCCTCCTGGACCCCACGACACCAGCAAGGAGCAGATCATTCGAGACCTTACGACTGTCCTGGAGTCCCACAGGGAGAACACGGTTCGGCATCACTACATGGACAAAGGGATCAAGTTTGTCATCAAGAATTGGCGACCCGAAGACCTACGCAGAGACGAGGATGGAAGGAGAATGAGGGTGTGCCCGGCATGCTACAACATCGTTCCAGCATGCTTCTCCCGATGCACGTCTTGCTGGTCACAGTTCGTTTCTAGCGGATATTACCAAGGTTCTCCACAACGGGAGACTCCTACGGAGATCCCCAGTGACTTCATTGCTCAGACAATGGAAGCCGCGGCAGCAGCAGTGCCTGAGGCGCCCGAAGAGGAGCAGGAAGCCATGGAGGTAGAGACCGTTGCGGAACCTGAGGAAATCCCAGAACCATCTGTCATCGCGGAGGACGATCCAGAACAGGAACCTGATGAAGAAATGGACATAGAGCCAGGAGAGGACTTTGATGACGCAGTACCAGATGCAGTTGCACAGGAACGCCGTCCCGTCTTCATTACCGGCCAGTCTTTGAACATCGATCCTGAGCTACAACTCGCACGTACCGCCATGCAGCCATCCTACTACTCAGGGAAGCGAAATGCCCATTGCATTGACGCCAACATGGTCGCTCTTTCGTATATGGCTTTCGTGGTATGCAGGACCATCTACAAGGCTTGGTCAGGCTTCGCGAAGTGGGCTACTATGCCGTTGTTTCAGATGAAGGAGAACTTCGCACTTGGCCAACGCTATGATGTGCTTGGAAAGTGGGGATCATTGGCTGTAGTGGACAGAGAGACTGGTGTGAGCAGGGATGTGACTGATGAGGAGATCATTCGCTTTGCCAAGGAACCTGAGAACCTCAAGCAGTACGATCCCAACGGGACTTACACTTTGAAGCGCTTCCGGACGAATCAGATGCTTTCTTTGCTTACGCGGGGAGCCAACATGATGGGAATTGGCAGGGACAACTTCAACCCTACTACGTACTTGAAGAGCCAAAGGGATGAAGATGTGAAGGCTATGCACTTTTGTTGCCTGAACGTCCTGTGCGAGGTGATTCCGATGGTGACGGGACACCAACAATTCTCAGTGCTACGACCAACGCCAACTGGACCGGTGGACTTCTTGTACATCGACCCCGTCGGTATCCTGCTGACTCATTCCGATCATTCAGTCCAGACCATCGGATTGCTGGTGGACCACAATGTGCAAATGCCTGCGCATTTCATGGACAGATTGAACAGATCCAAGGCTGAGAGACAGCAAAACCCGACGACCAAGCGTACTGAAGCCCTACACCACATTTCGGCCGCTGACTATCTCCCTCCAGGTGGTACTTCCATCCTGGACACGCCTGTCACTACGGAGGAACGTGCAAGCGCTTCTTCGGCCAAGGGACCTTCAAAGGGGCGTGAGAGAGCCGGAGGTGAACAGCATGGAGGCTGGAACGCCAACACCTACTATGACTACACCGCCGGCAAAGGCCGAAACAAAGGCAAGGACAAAGGAAAGCAAAGGGAACAGTATCCAGAGGAAAACCTCCGGCCCTGGGACCGCGATCCTGCGACCACGCGAAGATGGAGATGAATCAACGCTTGGTCTTCCTCGCCTATCAGTTCGTGACCTCTGAGCTTCGCCCATGGAATGCCATCGCGAATGCTTCTTTCTTCGGTGACGCCTGATTCGTTTGCCATTTCAGGGGATCGTTACTGACGTAGATGAGTGTCACAACGTTTCTAATTGGGATGCAAAGCTCTGATTTTCAATGTCAACGTTGCGGCGGAACATTTTCTGTTGTCCTATCGTGCCATCTTCCGGGTGAGCAGCGTCGGAGACGCAACTCATGGGGGGTGCGAACGGACTGCGATGCCTTGTCAAGTTCTAAGGTGTCACTATAAGAGCTGTGAGCAAGACCGTGTAAAGTGCAAGAGAAGGGGGCACGCTACGCGTCCCTCGACTCTAAGGGGGCACGCTACGCGTCCCTCGTCTTTACCTTTCTATGTGACCGCCCACGCAACGTTTGGCTCAAGTCAATGCCCATAGCTAAGTGCTATAAGTGTCTTCTATCCTGAGCAATCAGAGCTATCCCGTTGCACAGACGAACCGCCGCCGGCAGTGAGTGCAAAAGGAACGGCCACCGGTTCTGCCTGCATAGGATTGCACGTGTGGAAGTGAGAGAGAGACAGGGTCCAGTCTGTGGAGAGTGCAAGCCAGCCACACCTACATTCATTACAGCTCTGGTGGGGAGAGCAGCAACCTAGTCGAGATCAATCCCCCACGCAAGTCATAAGTTATGACTAGTTAGCACCCAGCCCAGTCTGAATCAGAGTCATAGTGACTGCTAGTGGCGATTCAGTCTTGCACGCCGCACATGGGCTGGTGCCGAAAGCCCGCTGTTGCTGCATGTTCAGCTAATGCCCTTCTTGTCTTCGGAATGGGATGGAGAGCCCATGCGGAGCAGGCGCGCTGGCCGGCCAAGCATCTTGGTCTCGTGTCCCGTCTGAAATTCTGCAGGCAAAGCTACACGCGTGAAGATGCTTTGTCTGTTCTGGTCCAAGTGTGCTAGAATGAGAAGTGACGTTCGCAGTGGCACCAGGTGTTCATCGATGGAGCACACGATTTTCGCTCCGTAGCCGCAGACATCCAACACTGGGCCCCCCGGGTGCGACCTGGAGGTGGGGTTCGGGGTAAGAGCTACTTGATCTTCGATTCAGTGTATAGCACCGCCCCAAATTTCAAGAACCACCCACAGCGCTACCTAAACCCCCAAGAGTAGGTGGGGTCCAGGTAGAGCAGATTTAAAGTCGGCAAGAAGAGAACTTTAGAACGCTTGCAATGTGCCTTGAGCTCATATGCTTGCTGCTGGAGGTGTGGTTTCCGGCCACGACTACAGATCCCAGTCGGCACTAGTTTCACTGGTTACTGTCCCTTTGTTCTTCGAACATTGTTGTGCGGATTATTCCTGCTGCGAAGCGCGCGAGACCAGTTGCGGCACCAATGTTGTCGTTAGAGACCGAAGTCCGCCAGAACAAAGGACTTGGCGAGGCTTTCAATGTCGTCCGAGCTGTCCACAGGCCCAAGGAGGGCGGGAGGAAAAGTCCGCGCGGATCAAGTGCCAATGGTCAAGAGCGCACACTCCAGTTTTGACACTTCTTCGATGTCTTTAAACCTGCACCCTGGGAAATCAAAGCTGTCCGAATCGAGCAGGAGATCTTGCACTGTGAGGGCAATTGCCAGCGAATACCGAGCGTACATGCTCGCATCTCTAGGGAGCCCCCAATGACCTCAGCTGCTGCTGCCGCTGCTCGGATTTTCCAGGTTTCTTCCGGCTAACCGACACCTTCAGCTGGGTCCAGATGGAGTGTGGTGGTGGATCGTTTAAGCTGGAAAAGTTCCTGTGCTGTTGCATCTGAATCCTTTTGTGACGTGGAAGGATGTTCTGGCATGAGTGCATCTCCGACAAACGGGAGCATTGTCGCCGTTGGCAGCGGAAAACAAACGGCAGTAAGGAAGGTGACCAAGACCAAGAAGTTCATGTACTGCAGTTACGAGCCCAACAGTAGGCCACGAGCGACCTAGGCTGACACATACGGAGCACACTTACAGGACATGTCGACATGCAGAGCAAAGCATCCCTAGTTGTAAGCTGCCCAAGCCCAAAAACTGAATCCCCCAAAGCAGCAATGTGGCATTGGCCGGTGGCAGCACTGCTGGATGGATTCCGTGAGAGAGATGTTGAGCGCTTGCGACAGCGACCATCTTCTCCCTCATCAAACTGTCGATCGAAGCTTTCGGAACAGCACGCTGGCTCCTGGCTTGCATTGGTGAGGAGTAACGACCCGGCCCCCCTAAACGTCGACAGTTGCCTTCTGGAGCTCCGTGGCATGCTTATAACTATAGTCGGGAAACTGCTGTTGCTCCTAGTAAAGTATGAGGCTTTTATTCTGAAAGGAACGAGACCGCAGTTCATGTGCAAAGTTGCTCGCGGTTCCAGCATGTCATGTTCTCCACTGCTCGACCGGTTGGCCAAAAGCGCACCTAAACCCCAAAACCCTAACCCCTAAACCCTGAAGCCTATTAAAAGGGATGCCAAAAAGGAAAAGAACCCTACTAACCCTAAGGCGTTGTTGGAAGCCATGGAGACGGCGGGGCAGGGACCGAAGCCGGGCTCCGTCAGCAGCCTCGTGCTCTGGGTCGCTTTGCAGTGGGACAGCTCTTCGGCAGATTTATATGCCTTTCAGGGTTTGTAGGGCTTGTAGTTTATGAGGTTTATAGGGTTTGGGGTGCATTATTATTATTGTAAGCTTTTTCATTATTTGATGCTCGTCTGGCTTTGGAGTTTGCGTCTCCGGGCAGGTTCCATGCTGACCCTCTTCATCCTCACGTCGCAGATGGCCCGGATGTGCTTCTCCGAAATGTATGGCTGGGTCGCTTGTCTTGTCTCGGCTTCAGCCGACGGCCCATGGGCGGCCCTAAGCCACTCGCAGAGGCGGCCTTCCTCACGGGCTGCCAGCACGTCGTCAAACTCATCCGTCGCGAGTCTCAGACCAGACTGGCGTTTGGCGCTGGCGTTAGATATCAGAGAGAGTGCAGAATCAGAAGCAGCTTTGCCAAGGTTGTTGGAGCTCTGATACCTAGGTCACCTCGCCGCCGAGGTTCCTGGGCGCATGAGAGACCCTGGAGGATGGCCAGAGGAAAGCATTCCAACCTGGGTTGAGGCTGCCACAGAGACGCTCGATTCGCACGCGAAGCCTTCATCCCAAACCTCAGCCCCCGTCCCTCGACGAAGCTCCTTCATGCCTCAGGAGGGCCATCGAGGTCATGCTGTCATCGCTCTGGAGCATCTCCTCATCTCTTTGCATCCATCTGCCAGTCGACTAAATACGTGGTCTTGGTGTGTTTCAGTGTCCTTGATCTGATATAGGTTCAAACTCAAGAGGCCTTGGATCAATGCGCAGGCACTTACCTGTTGTGTTGTCTTTGCAAGCTCGGTGCGCGCATAAACTGCGTATCGGGCGTGTTGGATATGTTGGATGATAGATAGCACACGACAGGCTTATCCTTCGAACTCCAGCTATCAAAGATGTGCAATGTGGATGTCTCGAACATTTCCGCTTTCCAAGGTCGGGAACCGTCCTGGTAACAAGCAACAGCTGGACAACCGGTAGCAACATCCCTGTCCGCTATTGGCAGGGCGACGCTCACCTCGGCATCAGAGTACTGTGGCAAAAAAGGGGAACAATCTAGTTTGAAGCTGAGGCATATCAGCGCAGTCCCCCAACTATCTCGCTAAGCCTAGGCCAGTGTCGCATTTCCAACTCTCACGCCCAAGGCCAAACCCGTATTCTGCTGCCGATCGCGGTGCCTGCAGTGCTGCGTGGTCGTGCCGTGCTTGAAGGGCATAGAGCACCAATGGTCAACAGCATCCGTACACGTGGCAATTAGCCACTGCAGCAACTATAGGAATCCCTCCCTATCGCTCATTCATTGATGATTCGTTGAAGACTGCCGCAGTCTTAAAATCTATTCACAAGACGAAATGCCAGGGCGGAAGCATCAACAACCAAAGAGCTCTGAGCCCAACGTCAAAGAAGTCTCCAGCCCAGTCGTAGGTGCTGGACAATGCATCAGCGGATGGCGCAGATGACCGCGGCCACTTTGTCAGACAATCCGCTGTTTGCTGCATGATGCTGCTCACGCTATGATCGTTGGCCACTTGATTTTGTATGCAAAGCTTCTTGTCCACATCGTGTCTCTGTGACATGGACTATTCTGTGCATGGTCTATACAAGCGCGAGTGTGCCTGGTTCATGAAATGTGCAACCAGCCACTTCTACAACATGCTGAATCAGTCCTTGCAAGTTGCGTTAGTCCCGTTAGTCGCCACACTGACAAGGTTGCAGGCCCTTCGGTATCATATCCGTGCGAATGAATGTATTGAAAAAAACTGCGTTTGAGGATGGTTGAGGATCAGGGCATCTGTTCACTTCAAAAGAACAGGTTCTCAATGAAGTTCTTGGACAGAGAGTAGGGCGTGAGGCAGCCTAACAGCTTGAACCATGTCCCAGGCTTTGACCACCTGGTCTTGGATCGCGCCTGAGAGCGCATAGCAGTTCACGTTCTTCAGAATGACTTGCCGCAAGCCGATCGTGAACGCACACATCTGGACCTAGAGAAGATGACCTGTGAAGGTACAACTGCAGCTGGAGATGGCTTTGCTTTGGACCCTGTCCCCGCCACCTGAGCCCGGCGGCAGCAATTGCATGATGGCATGTCGTTGATTTAGCCGCTCTCATGAACCAAGTCCCACAATTTTGAGGCCCCGACCGTCGCTGCCAGATCTTCTCGTCGGCATGCAGCCAGGTCGGAGCTTGTCTTCTCGCCGCTTGCGCAAACCCCAGCACTATGGCTACCAGTACCCGGGTTGCTCATGTTCTTGTAGCTCCTGAGAGAGTCGCCCTTTGAAGCCGGGAGCAGACTGCTCAAATGCTCAAAGAAAGCCGGAGGTGAGCTAGATGGCCACGAAGACATTCAAGGCGCAGCCTTTAGCCGCTCGGCTCCTGTGTTGGCGCCTGAGTTTGGCTTCGGGCTCAAGACGGGTGGCCGGATGCGATATAGGTTTTCTGAAGGTGCCCATGAACCCTGGTCAACGAACCATAACGAACCCAGTGAGCCATTGCTATGAAGCGGCAGTCTGAAACGACCACTCGCTTGTTGAGATCAGGCTCGCTGCTACGACTGGCTTTCCCAAAGACCATGGTGTCCAAAGTATACATGGTGCTTTGGCTGCACTTTATTTTTAACTTTAACCTGTGTCTCAGAGCAGGGTTGCCTTGGTAATGCCTCAAGTCTGCTGATCAGACGTGACATTTCGAGTTCCCTTGCCGGAAACCATTCCTTGCAGGAGCAGCAGTGATTTCTGGAATGATTCCCGTCCAAGAGTCGCACATTCGCCTGGCTCTGACAGCTCCTCTTCAGCTGAGGTGGAGGTGGGCGTCCACCGCGCCGTCCTCGCGGTCCGTCTCCTGCGAGAGCACCCACAGCTTCAGTATTTGGGATTCACGGCGCAAAGGGGAGTTCTTGTGCTCTGCCGCAGAAACTCAATATAGCCAGCAAAACAGCTTGATCCACGCAGCACGACTTGCATTTGAGTGGACAGAGGGAAGATCTGAATGCAAGTTCAAGGAATTGATCCTTATCGTGGGTACTACGAGGGCAGGAGCCACACTTGAGCGTGTGAGTCCCTCATGCCGGGCTCCACCTCCCCAGCTGTGAGCAGGAAGTCGGAGGAGGGTCCGAAACGCTACGGAGCTCCAGAACACTACCGCAGTTCCCTGCGAAGGCTCCTGCTTCTGATTGCCTTGAGAAGCTAAGACTTTCAGTTGATACGGTGGAAAACACGCACTGGCACCGAAGGAGGGGCAACGTCCTGAACCCAAGCCCCGGTTGAGACCCTGCGATCACCCCGAAATCAGAGCATCCAGGCTGCCCCCACCTGAAACCAGTCCATTTCAGTTCTTCGTCAGGCTCCGGCAATTTGGGCAAAGGGCGCACCTTTGCCGCAGCACCTCACTGAAAGCCAGCGACATGGCTGCATGCAGTGAGTGTAGCTTTCACGTAAACTGGTGCAGCTGTGCTGCCGCGTCAGCATGTGGAGTTGTGGTGCAGCCTTTCTGACATGGTATGGCAGATCTCTGTGGGTGATTTTGGTGTGCGATTTCCAGACAAGCAACAACATAATCACATATCATATTATAGTGTGTGTATATATATATATAGATATACAAATATATACTGTGCTTGATTTGACAATGTTCGCCCTTCTAACTCCGACAAGGCAAGGGCCCTTTGCACAGCTGTCGCTCCCGTTGGGCTGCCACAAACTTGGATGCTGAGACTTGCATGCACTAGGCCTTAGGCGCTTCTGCGGCTGTAGCTTCTTCGTTGTGCCAGCTGTGCACATCAGACGCTTGGAGATCTGGGCAGTGTAGTTCTGCTACCAAAGCATGTGCCTGACTTTCAGTAGGATGTCCCTGCTGATGTGATATCAACATTTAAAGACAGAAATGGATTCAGTCACAGCTCTCCCCTCGGATTGGGCTTTCGTAGTCGATGGAGCCACATGTAAGCACGTCGTCACGTCGTCTTACTCCTCCAGCAAGCAAGTACGGTGAAAGTTCCAGGTCTTCATCGACGGGGAGCACGACTTCGCCTCTGTCGATCAAGACCTTCGGCTTTGGGCCCATCGCGTTCGCCCAGGGGGTCTAGCATCTCGGACACCCATGACAAAGCAATACCGAATGAATTGCGTGGTCACTGTCACAGACTTCCTGAAACTGCTCCTTCAGTGTTGCCAGTTCCTTGTCTTGTGATGGTGCTACCAGCTGTCGTTCCGTGTCGGGTCCTACTCGCATGTTGCTCGTGCTGCTGGCTGGTCATTGTGCCATCAATCTTCAGCTTCTCTTCTCGACTGTAGAAGAATCACGCGCCCGAAAGGTCTCAAGACTATTTTCAAGAGTAGAGCATAGATGTGCTTCATTACGGTTCACGAAAATCGTGTGCCGGACGTGAAGTCTCGCGCAGAGGTAGCTGGACATGACTACCGCCGCGTGGCATGCATTCAGGTTTGCGCAAGGTCTGCGATCTTGCCATGTGCAGTTATCTTCTGATAGGCATTCTGCATTGCAGCATGTCTTATCAAGCTGTAATGTCCTACCCAACGGTGCAGTGTGCGTGCAAGCTTTAGCTCATCTTCCTGTGGTAGCTTGGCTACTGCCGATGGTATGCTTGCGCTTCTTTCGATTGAACAGCATGCAGCCGCAGGCTTGCCTCATGCTTTGGATCTGGTTGAAGCCGTTCACAGGTGCGGCAGTGCAGCGAAGCACAGCTGTCTTATGTCTGTTTGCGCAAAGATCTCACGGGAGGGAAGATCCACGCGTGGAAAGGCCCCAAGAGCAGTCAAGAAGGCTTGTCATCGCATGGTGGTATCGCTGTTTGATGCCATGCTTCACTGACTGCCACTGCTTTCACAAATGGGCTTAGCCCTCCTCTGTGCCGAGTGAGTCTTAACGATACAGCACAGTAGCAGAAGTGCGACAGCCATTTCCTTCGCATGTCCTGTTCTTTTTGTTGCATCCAAACATCCTGTCGTCCGTTTGCAGTTGCTGGCTCTATCTTGTGCATTGTGCAGAGCTATGCTTGTAGGTTTCCTAGCACATCAACGGATGTCAATGTGTTCCTGGTCTATCCCTGGGGACCAATCCAACATATGTTGCAGGCATTTACCTCCTGGCCGGCAACTTCAATTGGGTCCGGACGGCATCTGGTGGTGGATCGCTTGATGGCAAGGAACCAAAAAGAGCGAACTTCGTGCTGAGGGACTAGGGGCTGATTCTTCGGGTTTGGGGTTCAAGATATGGGGACGTGTGGCTTGCATCTCAGCTGCATAGTACCGAAATTTATTCACAGTAGTTTCTGGTTACTCGCACGTCTTGTCTCTGCAAGAAATGTCAGTCGAGCAGCAAAGTTTGGAACTACTCTGTAGCCATGGAGCCTGCATGCCCTCCAGTGGAACATCGTCTGGAACATGTTCCTCCAGCTTTATCAGCGCAGGTGCTCGAGAGATCCAGCCCGACCCGAAGGAGAAGGCTGCCAAGAAAAAGCAGCAACCAGGCCAGGAACTTCACATCCCTGACCTTCTCAAGAGAGGATGTGTCAAGAGCGCAGGTCCAGAGATCCCGAAGGAAATGAAGGAGACTGCCAGGAGGAAGCAGTCAACAGGCCCAGCTTCATGTGCATCGGGGACCAAGATAAAGTTTACTGCATGCGAAGAAGTCTGAAGCGTAAGTTGCCATGTGCTTGTTTAAGTCGAGTGTAAGGTCTCATCATGAAAGTTTCGTGGCCGTAGGTGCCGCAGGCCGCAGTCTCTGAGAGTGGGGAACACCGCGTTGCGCCGCAGGTGGCTTCGCTCGATCTGCAGAGCCACCGCGACAAGACCTGGACCCCGCAGGCCAGACACGACGCAGCAAGACTGCCTCTGTGTGGCAGTTGGAGAGTTTACCGAACGGAATGGCAGAAACAACGAGCAGGTTGGGAGTCTACAAGGGTTCAGGCTTCAAACTTTGATGCATCTGCGGACAAGTGCCAGGTCAGGCTGATCCTTCTGACGTGCACGAGTTGGCTGAGCGCCCGGCACCGCAGTTCTTCCGGCTGTCACACCCCGTCCCTTTCCCTCCCCTCCTCCTCACTTCCTCCCTCCCCTGCCCACCCTTCCCTGGTCACAGGCTCTCTAGAAGCTCTGTCTTTGCCTGAGGTTTGCTAGACTCAGACCCTGCTTGGCGAGCTGAGAGGCCCTGACCCTCTTTTAGTCACTTCGGATGGGTTGACCGGGCAGCATGTAGTTTTAGATGAGAAGTGATGGCTAGTTTTGGGTCCGTCGGTCCGTAGGCATGTTCAATCCTGGGCTCATTGGAGAATGCCGTCGGGCTACGTAAAACTTAAGATAACCGAGTGTGAAGTTCTGATATCAAGTTGCAAAGCTGGTCATCACATCTCCATCTTTGCACATGTAAGTAGTCAGATGCTGCACAACTGCTATGCAGCTTCCATCGCGGCTTCCTTGCCTTCGTCCTGCCTTCACAACTCCCGAGTTGGCAGGGAACTGAACAAGCTGGCGCCGGAGCAACTCCAGAAGATATGCCTTTCTCTACGACGCCGGGCCACGCAGGTGGGGCTTGGTGGGGGGCGTCGCAGTCCGTCCTTTACCTTTTGCCAGACGGGTCCAGGAGTCTCTTGTGGCCTGCTGGGCAAAAAACAACCTACTCATCTGCCCAGGGTTTGGCTAGTCTTTGCATCAGGGACTGCATCCACCCTGAGGCGTGTGCCAATTCTTGATTGCCTGGTGGGTGGAACCATTGTAGGATGGAGCAAGCCTGTTGGGACATGGCAGGGCACTCGGACTCTGAGTGACCTTTGGCAGAGACTGTCTGCACAGGCCTTCTCCATCAGTGACGTTCGAGCCTCTCTCCTGAACGAGGTGGGTCTATCCCACCCTGCCTAGTTACGCAGCATTCCTCTGTTTTGGCTCACTCACAATCCGCTAGTGTCCTGTCGCATTTTTCCAACATTGTCCACCTTGAGCTGTTGGGTAAGCCGGAGGGAGCGGGAGATGGAAGGCCGAAGGCACTGTGCTTGAGCTTGAAATATGTTCCTCTCAAGTGTCCCACTCAAAATCCGGCACCAGCGCCACCCAAATTAAAGCCCGCATCAAAGCAGCTTCTACGTGCGAGACAATAAGATGTGTTGGTCGGTACTGCCAATGTCGAAGCATGTGTCCGTGGCATGGAGGCGGAGAAAAGCTTGCAAGAGGAGGCGCCTTGCAGACATGTAGGATGTGATAGCAGTTCCTGTGCTGCATCCACGCTGCAATCGTTGCAACACCACTTTCGGAGTTGCAAGTTCGCGACGTGGTTCCAGTGGCTCAAGTTGCTCCGTCTTTCTTCAACACAAGCAATCACATGCAGAGGCTTCCTGTCTTTCAGTCGTGACCACGGTGTGCTTGAGGCAACCCGTCGTCACCTGCAAAACCTGGAGGTCAGCTTGCTGTGCACTGAGCACTTTGCTCTTGCTGCTTCGTTTTCGAGCCAGCCCTTGGCACCAGGATCAACGCAACGAGGCTCGAGCGTCTTATCAGGATGCAGCAACTTGGCACGCAACAAGGCTCGAACTCATGCGTGTGTGTTGTCAGCGGCTTGCATCCATGCGCTGGACGAAGTATTCGGCCATTGCTTCTACAGTTCTACATGCTAGACATGTTCATGAGAACTGGAGAGATGACGAAATCAGGTTGAGACTACACGGCGCATGCGCATCGATCTGGAGCTCAGGTCGAGAGTCGATCGAAACATGTCAGCTATTGTAGCTGCCTGTTCCCACACCACCCTGCCAACAGATCTCCACTGGGTCTCCTCCCTCAACTTGCATCTGCGAAAGCCGGTGGCAGGCGCAGCGGCACGCTGTCCTCCCGATCCACGACCTACGTAAGCCCTCACCTGGGCATCCGTTGCACACAGTCATACAGCACAAGCCTTGCCCGCATCTCAAGAGCGACTCCTGTCCTGGCATTGCGGCATTGCCGTGGTGGCTCACAGCCATGTAGTGCAAACATGTGGGGTCTGAACAGTTCGCGCTCTCATCTGTCATCCAGGTTTGCGTGCTTGTTCCATTTCTGCGTAATGTACATCCGCATCTTTGACGAAGGGCATCATTGCCAGAAGCGTGTAGTTCGTGGGCAGGCGCCCTTCCTCAATCCTGTGCGGGCTCTTTGATCGAAGCAGCCATCATCTCGGCTCCACCACCATCGCTGCAAATCGGAGACTGGGGTGGCAATCCTGAGTAACAAGTGGAAGGAAGAAAGGAACTCTCAACCTCCGACGCACTACCCGATGTTGCCTATTCCGTGAGAACAGATGCTGGATCCTTTTTGCCTTTTTGGTCCAGGGCCGTGAGTGACCATTCGGAATATTGTGCGATGAAAACCACCCATCGTCGCGTTCAGCCGCCAAAACTTGGGTGCCACATGAGTCAGAAGCTCCCGGCTCTCAATGCGAAGCCTAGCGGTGCGTTAAGTAGCACCTGTAGCAGTTGTCCGTGTGCTCGAAGCCAGTGTTCAAGAGGCCAAGATGGGCACTGAACAGGGAGAAGGGGACGGAGCGATCCCTGCAGAGCCCGTTCCATGGCGCAATTTGTGGGTCGAGGCATTCCCTGAAAGCCGTTCTAGTCGGCGGACCAGCTCAGCCAGAAAGTGCAACCCTTTTGACAGGTAACGGAGGCGGTTGTCACTCTTAGGATGGTTGGTGGTGATGATTGCGATGGTGATCGTGGTGATGGTGGCGGTGCTCTTGACAGTGGTGGCGGTGGAAGTCACTTCCACCGCCATGTTTTACGGTTCGAGCCTTGCACTTTAGTCATAGAGGGTTTTCGCTAAGGTTTCGGGTTGCTTTTCGGAGTTATGGTTGGAGTGTTGTAGTCTTGTCGCAAACTCTGGGTAAGAGATGTTGCTCGAGCACATGGGGGCTTTAGGGGGAATACGAAACGATGCTCAGGGGTTGAGCATCACGTGTGTAAAGACAGGAATCGCTGCGCACTCAGCTCTGACACTGAAAAGGCTCCTGCTGGTGTGATTTGCGCAGAGCCCATCCATGAGGCGATATTCGCATTCAGCAAGAGGCATGGTGCACTTGCAAGCCATTCGTCGTTATGTCAACGTTGAGGTGTGATGCAGCACATAACCGAAGTTTGAAGCTCATATCTCCACCACCCGGCACTGTTAAAGAAAATCCTCTCAGAAAATCCATGCCGCAACTCTCACAGCATGCCAGCATAAGAAGTGCGATGCAGGATGATGATGATCATCATCACGACGCTGGTGCCTGGTATGGTAGGTGATGATGTGATGATCCTCGTGATGGTTACGCATGCCGTTTCTAGCGTGCAGTTCTGTCTATGCTCGGCAGTTTGACGGGCAAATTCGTTTCTGTTTACCCCAGTACCCACTTCAGCGTTAGATCGGTAGCATGAAGCTGAGGCCACGAAGACAATGCAAGTTGTCGTGCACAGTCCCTCGGCTGGTGAAGATCGAAAAAGCAAAAGAAACTAGCCAAAGCCCAGACAACATGTAAGCAAACTCAGCCACGATATGGGAAGTATTTTATCTGGTAGTGCAGACCGACATTTACCTACATATGGAACAGGAATGACAGTGATTTGTCGTTAAGGCGGATAAAGAAGACGAAGAAACGACTACTGCTACTCCTACTCCTGCTCTTTCTAGTCCTGCTCCTACTCCTCCTACTCCTGTTCCTATTCCTCCAACTACGACTACCACTGCTGCTGCTACTACTACTACACTACTACTACTACTACGACGACTACTACTACTACAACTACTACTACTACTACTACTACTACTACTACTACTACTACTACTACTACTACTACTACTACTACTACTACTACTACTACTCGTACTCGTACTCGTACTCGTACTCGTACTCGTACTCGTACTCGTACTCGTACTCGTACTAGTACTAGTACTAGTACTAGTACTAGTACTAGTACTAGTACTAGTACTAGTACTAGTACTACTACTACTACTACTACTACTAGCTACTACTAGTACTACTACTACTACTACTACTACTACTACTACTACTACTACTACTACTACTACTACTACTACTACTACTACTACTAGTACTACTACTACTACTACTACTACTACTACTACTACTACTACTACTACTACTACTACTACTACTACTACTACTACTACTACTACAACTACTACTACTACTACTACTACTACTACTACTACTACTACTACTACTACTACTACTACTACTACTATACTACTACTACTACTACTACTACTACTACTACTACTACTACTACTACTACTACTACTACTACTACTACTACTACTACTACTACTACTACTACTACTACTACTACTACTACTACTACTACTACTGCTACTACTGCTACTACTGCTACTACTGCTACTACTGCTACTACTGCTACTACGACTACGACTGGGACAACCACTACCACGACCACGCCCGTTTCCAGATAATCATAGCAATAATAATAACAATAACAATAATAATAGTAATGATAATATAAGTATCAAGAATATACAACGGATCACAATATTACTAGACTAGTAATTCTAACGCTACACTAGTCACGAAAGCTCCCCGTGTGGGAGCTTCGTTCAATACCTCACGAAGTGAGCTTGGGGTTTTCGGGGGGGGTGCGGGGGGGGGGGGGGGGGCTTTTTTTCGTTGTTTTTTTCGGCTATCCACCGTCTGGAGCTGGGAAAACCGTCGTTGCCAAGGGGGCTTGTTTTGGGCCAGATTTGGGTTTGTTTGGTAAGTGCATTTTGGAGATGTTCGCAGGAGAAGTGGGGCTCCTCTGATGCTGCTGATGCTGGCCTGGGTGTGCTTCCTGATGCTGCTGATGCTCACCGCATCGTGTCATGTGCGGCAAGAACGAAACTACTGATGCTGCTGATGCTGGCCGTATCGTGTCATGTGCGACAGGAACAGAACTACTGGAAGTACTGCGCCATGCTGCAACATGTTTGTCCGTTTATGGTTAGCAAAGGTGTCTGTCTGTTTGCTTTCTGCATCTTCCGGGCTGAGATCAGACATTTGTAAGTGTCGTTACTTGCCTCGACGAACTTGGCCTGGACCCGCCTTTTGTTTTGTTCGGCTCGATTGGCTCCGCAGTTGCTGCCACGAGCTTCGCTAGGGCCTCTCTATTCCTGTAAGCTCCGTGTCGCCGTCCTACCCCTACTAGAGCTTTCGTCCCAGCCCGTGGCTCTCAAGTAATTCTAACGCTACGCGGCCCGCCTCGACTGGCGGCTCCAGTAGTGCCAGCAGCGGCGCCCAGGGCAGGAAGGGGAAAGGAGAACCGAAGGAGAAGAGCAATGGAAAAAACACGCGAGCTAAAGCAGTGGGAAGATGGAAAAGGCGGCAAGATGGAAAAGTGGCGGGGGAAGATGGAAAAGCGGTAAAAGATGGACAAAGAAAAGAAGGAAGTGGGGCAGAAGGAAGGGGAGCAAGAGGAAGGAGGGAGCTTGAGAAAAGGGCAAGAAGAAGGAACGCTTGCAAGAAGAAGTCGGTCAGGAAGTGGGTCGTGGATGGAGGGTGGGGCTGGGCCGGCCCGGGGGAGGGGGGGGGGTCGGTTGGGGGGGGCGGGAAATCACGGGTGACAGGACGGAAGCCGGGCAAGGGGGTCGAAAACAGGCTCCGAAAACGGGTCGGAGTTTGTGTTTGGAATGCAGGGAGGAGGATTAGGTGGAGGGTTACTGATAGTATAAACCATCAAAACGCCAGAGGCTATAATGATAACAATGCTCATGTTAAGGCTCCGAGGCTACTCCCACTGCTGCGATTACTGCGCCACTACGCCTCAATCAGCTAGTCAGGAGAAGAACAACCCCACAAGCCCCAAGCTCGCACCCCACTGCGGAGGTAGCAAACTTACAACTGCTGTCATTTATCATTACTCGTAACAACTGGCACTCGGCAGTTCAAAGACAGACTATGTGAGTTGTGCACTACGATCGCAGCCCATTAGTGTCGCGATCCTGCCTCGGCAAGTCGCGGTTAAGTCACTGTGGACGAGGCACGAGCCCAAAGTACAGCACACCCCAAGCAAGAATCCTCGTAGACTGATGCAGCCTCTCTAAGAGACATGATTGCATGCGATCAGCGCTTAGGCCAAATCCGAGGCAGAGGACCTTCAGGCTTGTGCTGCAGTGCAGAGCTGAGGCATCGCTGGTGAGGAGCTTCTGGCGATGCAATGCCAAGCGGACTGGACTGTGTCAGACGTCGCAGGAAAGGCGGAGAATCCGAGCAGAGGTTTCTTGTGTCCTTGGTTGCCTCCGTCTTCCGTCAGCCACCCCCGAAAAAGAAATGACCAGCATGCACACATGACATTGGCCCCGCCGCCCCGCCTCGAAATGGCCCCCGTTCAGCGCAGGTGGAGCCCAAGTTGCCAGGACTGTGGCAAGTGAAACTCCAACTGGTGGATCAGGTCCTGCAGGTGCCGGGGCTGTCTTGCTTGCCACTCTTGACGGTATATGCAATGACTTGCCGCACCCCGACCCACCCCCACCCACTCCCACCAACCCCCACTCACCCACCCCACCCCCACCCACACCCAACCATGTGTTTACATGGAGATATGACCACACAAACAAACAGGGGTCCACGTCTTCAAGCAAGAGGCAGGCTGCTCGTCAGCCCAGAGGAAGCTCATGGCAAGCTCCGTCGCTGCACCATTCCAAGCATAGATTGTGCAGGCTTTCGTGTGAGAAAGGTTGAAGCATGTGCCGCAGATCCGGGCCACCTGGCAAGTGGATGTTCACCGATTGCAGTAGCTTCCCGCATAAGCTCTGAGGCTAGTCTGAGAGTATACTAGTATCGCGCGGCACCAATGTAACAGTACATATCACAGCAGGGTCATATGACGTGCATGTGGGTGGCACGCCACAAGACAGAAGACCTGCCGCAGGGCGATGAAAGCCTGGGCGATTTGGCGAGCAGTGGCGATCTGGTCCGGGCTTCCAGTCATTTGCTTATTCTTTGGTTCATGCTTCTTGAAAGGGTTCTGCCGCACTGCCTCAGACCTCGAAGGAAGGGAACATAGGAAGACCTGCTGGAGGCATTGACTGAGCTGTTAAGTTTTTCTGTGTGGCTTCCATTCGAAGGCGGGATCTTCTGGCTCTGGGGTTCACGCGAAAAGGATTTCCAGGCGGCAAGAACACAAAGCTTTGATTCCTATATGGCGTTAATGGGGCTTGTTCTGCGTTCGTCTGTTTCTGCCGTGTATCAACGATTCGTTATGTGAATTTGTTTTTGGCTTTTATTCACGGAAAGGACGGTACATATACAACGACGAAACACAAAAAGCAGCAACACAACTACAAACAAGAACCACCTCCACCATTCCCACCCCCTCCCAATGCCAGAAGGTTATGTTTTGTTGTGGTTTGATTTTTCGTTGTTGTCCGGTGCAGAGTGCAGTCCGTCCGAAATGCGGATATGCAGATGTTTCATATCCAAGCGACGATTGCTGTTGCGAGGAACTGACGGCAGTCTTCTTGCGAGAAACCGTCTGGGGCCTGTCCTGTGCGTCTGCACAGGGATGCGTGTGTTCTGACGAGTATGAGTGGATGTCCTCGGACATGAAATGGTGGGACTGCGATACTGTGCTGGCTTTCCGTCAGAGAATGACTTCCTGCGATCTCCAGGTCGCCGGTGTCTATGTGGCATGGGCTTGCAGCATTCTCGTTCTGCATCCGGACCATCGGGCAACGCAACTTGCCCGCACGGATCAGGAGAATGTGACAATTCCCAAACTCTGCGAAGGCAATTGAAGATCGCGGTCAGTTTGACTTAACCGGCGCCTGATGTTCCCTGCAAAGCACATTTAGGCGGGGGCTTCAAACACGCGAAAATGTCCAAACAAGCCGTGCATATTCCAGGATACTGTAGCATCCGATTCGAAAGCCTGGGGGCTCCGAACCGGAGAGAGCACAGGAAGCATGGAAGAGGACATGCTCCGACTCTCTCTGTGGGCAAGGGTCTCATAGCCTTGTGATGGTGTGACCCGAGCTGTGTCGTGTCGGATTGGGCCCTTACCTCAAGGCCTTGGTGGACCTGATGGCCTCAAAGAAAAACACACACTCAATCCCACGAAACCAACCCTCCATCGTCGTGATCAAAGACGGGCTCCATCCGGGCCGTAGTTGGGGGCCTCTGCAGAACTGAGCCAGGTATCTCTGGTACGATGACTACTGGGAAGATCCGCTGATGCGAAGCTGCCCCCAGAAAACTGCAGCGGAATGGGCCAGCGGCCAGACTGAAGTGAAGTGGTGAGTTAGGATTGGGGCAGGCTTTTCAGTTGGAAATCCCTCACTGCGGGCCGCACCGTAAGCTTCAAACGCAGTAGATGCTTGTCTCTGGCATTACTCATTTCGGGGCACAGCTGCAAAAATTGAGAGAGCATTGCTCATGAAGATAGGAACACCGGAGCACCAGTTTCTGTGAAAGTCTGCTCAGGATGTATTTCTAGCCTCATTGATTGGATGGTGCTTGGTGTCTCGAGGTGAGGAGGCCACCGGCAGCTGGAGCTTGGACGGCGTAGATCTGGCCGCCAATGCTGTGGAAGATTATATGAATGATGACCTGCGGCTCACGCATGAATGGTTCATGGTTCCCTGAGTCTCAAGCCATGCAAGCTGAAATCTTCATCTCGGTCTCTGACTCCAAGGCATCTGACCGCCAAAGTTACAAGAAGCCCAGAGGCTCTGAAGCAAGGCGGGAGCTCTCATGAATGATCGCTTGACCGGATTTGCAAGCTGCATCGAACGCGAACGTCATCGCGAGAAGCGCCCGCATGGGATCAGACTGTCATGCCGGCTGCGAGGCATCTCCGAGATCATGCTCGTCACCAAGTGCACTGCCAAGCCGTCCACGGCCAGTGCTGCATGCATTGCCTGTTCATGCAGAAATGCGCGTGACAAGTGTGAGATGCCATGTTGCCACGGTGCCAAGGTTATATCACAAGTTTGGCGACGATGCAGAGAGGAGCACCGAACCAGAAGATAAGATGTTTTACAAAGTGTGCCATTTCGACGACGAAGCTGCCGTTCAACTTGATGAACATGGTCCAGGGAAGCGGGAAGACCCTGCTGCAACCTGAGCGATCATTTGGAAGTGCATGTGAGCACATCGCATGCATGTTCTGCAGATTTGCTCTTATGGCGCGTTTCCGCAAAAAAGCTTCGAGCTAGCGTGGTGGCGCTGAATTACAGAAGCTTGCTCCTTTGGTAAGGCAGCATTCCCAAGGCTGCTACTTGCAAGTGATATAGCTCGAGACGACAGATTGTCAGCCATACAGGACACCCCTTTGCCTCAATGGCCAATGCTGCATTGACGCTCGATCGCCTGTCTCATACCTGTCCGTCGAGATATACTTGAGTCAACCCACCATGAAGTTTGGACAAGAACCACAGCTTGCACGCAGGGAAACTCCAGGCCGTCAAGTGCTTCTCGTGCTCGCTCGCCACGGCCTCAGGGTGCAGAGCAGAAGAGCATTGGGAGCAGTTTGACACGCTTTACGTGATCTGGCGCTCCAATGATTCTTGTTGTTGCTGAGCGTGACTCTAAGAGCAGCAGCAGCAGCAGCAGCAGCAGCAGCAGCGGTGTGGGGATGTAGCGGTAGAAGATGATTCAGATCAGCAGCAGTCGTCCTCGGCTCGTCGTGGTGGTACTGTAATAGTGGCAGCTCAGCAGCAGAGTTCGTCGTTGTCGTCGTCGTTGGTCTTCGTCGTCGTGGTCCGACCAGCCTTCAAATGCAGCAAAGACCTGTCGCTGATTTGTCTCCTGGTCGTTGCATCAGACTTGATTGAGACTACATTTGCAAAGTGTGCGAAGGTATGCACATCAGGCCGAGGGCAGCCTGAAGAAAAACGCTTTTGGATAGAGTTAGTATTTAATCAATAGGAACAGCAGCAATGTGCTAGTATTGTAATACTTGTCGCGAACCTCATAACATCATGCAAAAACTAGTGACAACCAACCCTTATGAGCACACAAGAGACTCAACGTCGTGAGGATGTCCAGACCGCGCACTCCAAGCACTGGTGCCGGTGCCTGAGATGCGACGGTCGATTCATAGGTACAGTGCCTGCGCACGTGTGAACAGTTGGGTGGTCTCGCCCCTATGTAGTTTCTTGACGTTGCAACTATGAAACTCCTACTGGGTAGCTGGGTCATGCACTCATGCAGGCTAAGCATAGGCAAGTCGTTGTGCGAGATGCCAAAGTGCGTTCGGGTACTAGAGGAAGCTTGTACTTCAAGTCGTTTTGACGGCTCTAACTTTCGGGCAAGGGGCATCACGACATGAAGGTTGCGGCGCCGGCTTTTTGAGTTTATGGCCTGTTTTCTGCGGCATGTTCTGATTTTGAGCCCACATCAGCCGCTGCGGTTCAACCTTTATTCGATTCGTGCCAGCTACTGCCTCGCACCTTTCGACTCTTGGATTTGACTTTGAGAAGTCACAGTCTGTGAGGTTACGGCTGGGAGGCTGACAATGTGAGCAGGAAGCCGTAACCTAGGAGTCACCACAAGCCACAAGCCGGAGCTTGTGCGGTTGGCCGCCGTCTGCACATGTCGAGAAGCTTGGCTGAACCATTAAGAGAGGAAAGACTCAGCCTTGGACATTCGTCGGCTGAACAGCTTTGCTGGCCTGGTGTTGTGCAACAGCATTGCTCACACTGTCGTGACCGGTTGCGCCTGCTGAGACGCCCCCAGTTCAGGGTTCATGACTGTTGCGAGCTTCCCAAGTGCCTGGATCCCTGCGTGTGTGCTGCTGAGCACGAGGTTATCTAAATGATCATCAGATCATCACGGAAATCGAAGAGCGCTTCGACTCCCTGGAGGCGCCCGGCGGAATCTCACCTGTTCGGGTAAAGCACTCATAGTATGACTTGAAAAGTCTAACCTGAGCACAGGTCTCGAATACCATCGCACCAGAAACCAGAATGTATCCACAGAGACTGCGATGAAACTCTCATGTCACTCATGTCACAAAAGTACCCGGGTTAGACACGTAAGGTATGTTCGGATCTTGGCATTCGCGTGTGTGGACTTGTTGGGAACCTACTTCGAGGCTAACCCAGGGGCAGCAATGTAGCTATGACACGTCCGAGTGTTCCGGCAGCATTGAACCGCTTGTGCAATTGCGTGTTGGTGCATGTCTCGTGCAGCTACGCATGGTCTTCTCGCTTTGTGGACTGTGGTCAGGCCACTGTTGGCAGCGTCGACGAGCGCGTGGAGAGCTTGGAAGCGATTGTGAAGGTGCCTGCAGAAGTTGTTTGGGCCAGATGCTGTGCAGGGCTTGGGGCGAAGGCGTTCTGTCAGACGCGGCAGAGTTGAACACAGGCGAAGATTCAAGAATCAAAGCTGTTGCATTTGAGCAGTGATCCTGCTCCAGCGTAGAAGTTGGGTGAGTTGAAGAGCAGACTCTTGGCGAAAACGAGACCACTGCCGCCACTGCCTCGTGGGAGGTCATACAAGAGACCCTCAAGGCGCACAACGCAAGGAGCCTGAAGAGTGTGGACGTGGACAGCGAAGATACAGCGCGAGTACTGGGACCAAAGTGGGGACAAGAAGCCTCAGGCGGGTAGTTTTGCGGACTTCGTGACGATGCTATGGCTTCTGTGTAACGTGAAGGTCGGACTCCGTTCAAGGGGGTTTTGCACCACTGACAGCTCTGGCACAGGCTTCTCGGAACAGATTCTGATCGGCTTGCCTGTGAGGCCCCTCGCCCCTCCGACCTCCAGAAGATGATGATGTCTCAGAGATCTTGGAAGGGGTGCTTGTCGGAGAAGGCTGGGCGAGGACCCGTCCTTTTAAACCCTGATACCTTAAACCCACAAGAAAGCAAACCACATGTCAAAATGGTTCAACGCCTTTTGCCTTGGAGGCTTCGTGGTTCTGAGGCTCGACTCCTGGGATTCCACAGATTCAGACATAGATATCCTGCCCATGGCCGTTGGGGCGGGACATCTGTCCAACCCGAACTCGCCAGATCCAAGACTACATTGCCCTTACGTCAAATCCACAGGATCCGGGTAAATGCGTTTGAGACTTCTGTTCACTCGGACTGCCTGGGACTACTTCTTTCGTATCGACATTGGATTGGTTACGTTCCTGGCGACAGGCATAGAGCCCGGTGGACTGGTGCTTGACATGTATATGTATGTGTGCATGTATATGCATATGTATAGGTATGTAGGTATTTATTCATACTCCTATTTCTGGACTTCTCGAAATGCTGTGGAGATATCCCAAGAAATCGGAGGCTTTTCCTGATAAAGCTGGTGTCCACACGTTTGAAACGGGTTGAAGTGCTTCATGCTCGGACGAAAGGTTCGGCAAATCGAAAGTTGCAGGAAGTTGCTTACAAGATAGGATTTGTTTAAAGAGTCTTAGTGTTATGATGTCTTAGGGACATGAAGCAGGATGGTTCCATGGAGCTCTACTTTTGGGGGGTCGTTGCCTCATTGACAGGGGGCTATGCAAACCCCCAGGCAGTTTTCTGTTGCAGCCTGGTCAGGTGCAGACAACAACAACATGAACAAGGAGAACACGTCACCTTTGAAACCGCGGACCGGACGCGGTCAGAGGAAAACGATCTCCACGGCCAAGGCCAGCTGCTGACAAGATGGGCACTGCGCTCTGTCACACCCTCATAGGGTGCAGCATGACAACCAAGACTGAGAGAAGAAGAAGAAACGCCATGGATTCGAGCTGACTCCGAGCATGTCCCCGGGCACCAGCATGCTTGGCGTGGACCATGCGCTTTCCGCTTTTGCCATCTTCCCCAGGGAGGGAGGGAGGCCAGAAAATGGCCAGAGAGGGGGAGCGCCACATCGATCAAGCCGAGGGAGTACGAAGCTATTGGGGCGTCCGTAGAGTAGGACTGCAAGATTGGGTGGGAGGGTGCATTCAGCCTAGTAGATCTGTTATTAGAGCAAAATGCGGCAACCATGTGCAGGCGATGCAAAGAGCTACAGAAACGAGAGGATCTGCTCTACAAGCAAAGAAAAGGGACGCACACTGTACGCTGGGACTTGTACTTGCAAGGTCTTGGAGCATCCTGCTAGTCTGAAGTCTGCAGGACAGGCGTACATAAGGTAGAAGGCACAGCATGTAAGTGTGGTGATCGGTTTCGACACGCGGGTTTGGCATAGGCTGGACACATGCACCGGGCTAAGGGATGATTAGGAAACACAGAAGAGAGAGAGAGAGAGAGAGAGAGAGAGAGAGAGAGAGAGAGAGAGACAGAGAGAGAGAGAGAGAGAGTATAAGGGGTAAAGCCCTTATACCATAACCCTGGCGAAAGAAAGAAAGAGAGAGAGAGAGAGAGAGAGAGAGAGAGAGAGAGAGAGCCAACACCGCCACAGCAACAGCAACCCAGCGGGGAGAGCCATCCCAACCTGCAGCCGCAGCACCCAGCCGGGGGGATTACACCCGAAGGCGCACCAGCACACTTTCAGTACCTCCACGAACAAGCCAACAGAGAAAGCCATATCAAGCGCCGCGGCCCGCCACAGCTACCGCACAAAGCAAGGACAGAGATGCTATGGGTGGTGGCCGGAAGAGGCAAATGGGTTGCCAGAGTTTAAGCCATACCGGGGGGAGCCAACCCAACAAAGCCAAAGGAGGAACCGCAGCGGGGGCTAAACCCAACGGGCCAAGAACTGTGGACAGCCCCTCTTTTGGGGGACGGCACCATCCTCGAGGTCGAGACCACGATGGGCTACGCGTACCTCATCACCATACTCAGCGTCCCCGCGCAGCACCGACAGGAGGGGGGGACCCTCATTGCCGAACCAGGGCAAGCCTTTATGCTGGAGCAGATACAAGACGTGTGGATGCTGAGACCCGCGGGGGACCCCGCCATGGACCACCCAAACGGGGGTACCGCCCACCGCCGCCTGGAGAAGGACGCGCAGTTGGCTACAACACGAACCCGGGCATCCCCTACAAAGGGGGACAGCAGCAACCAGCAAGCGGGTCAACCGACCAGCGAGGGGGAACTGCCCAAGGACAACAACCACCACAACCAAGCGGCAGCAAGCCCGGAGGCACCAACACTGCCACCACCCAACACCAGCAACAGCGACACACGACTAGTGCCAGCTCGTCCTCCAACGTGGCAGGGAAAGCCATACCCAAAGCCACACCACCAACACCACAAGCCACACCACCCAACGACGACTTCCGCGACAGCAGGACCCTTCGGGGGCACACCAAAGAGGAGAAGCCACAGCAGCCGCCAAAGCACTTCTACGATAAAGCACGAGACAACCGCAGACTGGGAGAAGACAGAAAGAAGAAGGGGGATGAACCCGACCACACAGAGCTGTGGCAGCGACCACCTCTACCCACCACGACCACCAGCACCACAACCACCACCCCAACAGACTGCCACATCAACTCCAGCGACCTCGCAGGCAACACAACAGACGAGGAAGCAGTGGGGCTGACCCGCAGGCGCAGAAGAGACAGCAACCACATAGGCAAGCCCCGCAGCCGCAGCAGAAGCGCACGACCCAACAACAGACCACCACCACCCGAACAGCCGAGCAGCTCCACCAGCACACCAGCACATGCCAGCACCATCGCAGCCCTACGTGGGGGGATACAAGCCACAGCGGCGCAGATCCAGCTCATACACGAAGTGGCAGCCAACATGCACGGGGCAGAAAGCACGGTGATCACAAACATCTGTGCCAACGCACTGCGCATGCTCAGCGAAAGCAGCGCGACAGCAGGAGTGGTGCGGAAAAACACAGTGCAAGACCTCCCTTCAGCAATAGGAGATTAGGAGAAGCGTACCGCTGTGCCACGAGCATGCGCGTAAGACGGGGGGACAGCCTGACCGCAGAAGAGTTTGCCACAGATGTGAGCGTCCTGCGCAGCATGGTGGAGCAAGGCATCAACGATCTCCCAGGGGGGAAGCCAGTTCAGCCAGCCATGCTGTACGACGCGCCCGTGCCCGCCTACAGAAGGCCTACGAGATGCTGGACGCGGTCATCCTGCGCACCATGGGGGGGGACAGGCAATGGAGCGACCTCAAATGGTGGGACGCTCTTCTTGACCACCTCGCTCCGGCAACCCTTTTGGCAGAGCAGGAGGGGGAACAAGCCGAAGTACACCCCGCCGACGTGATCGCCCTTGAAAGGGGGGACAAGGAATGGACTGCCAGAACAAGCACCACCTTGTCAGCCACCATGCGGCTGCTGGAAGCAGCGGCCGAACTGCGGGAAAATGCCGCGTTCATGGGGGACGAGGACCTCGCACCAGTGCTCGCAGTCCTGCACGCGATCGAAGACTGGCAAAATTCCCTGTTCGGGGGGAAGCACGCAGTGGACGATGAGACGCAGACCGACCCAATACAAGAAGCCGACGTGGGGGAGCACAACGAGCCAAACTCGGCTGGAACCAAGCGGCGTTGGTTTGCTCTGTCGCCGGGGGTCAACCAAGAGGACATGGCAGCCCTCGAGGCAGATAACTTCCTGGCTGACCTTGCCGAAGTGGAACTACTTCCCACCCTGCCAGCGCCGGGGGAAACTGGAGAGAGCCAACAAGCAACGCTACCGTGGACACCGCCAGCGCCTGAGCCGGTGGGGGCGGTTGCAAACCTTCTGGCACCCAGTGAGGGGGAGGAAGAGTCCGAACCCAGCCCTGAGGGACACCGGCGTAGACGAATGCTTGCAGCCTTTTACGACAGGCATGGTCCAGTGTAGGGGGAATAGCTCGGCGTGTTTGCTGGTTTTTTGCCGCTTGACCTTAGTCTACCAGCCTGTCCTCACAGCAAGCCAGGGGTCCGGGGGCACAAAAGTCTCTACATGGGGGGCAGTCTTATGTTCTGCACGGTTGTTGTTAGCTGCTGTTTTCCAACGAATGCCCACCCTGACTCCAGCAGCCACAAACCCGTACAGTACTAAAGGCAAAATCCGGCGCAGGGGGAATGTCTTCCATGTATGTAAGGTACTGCTTGGCACACCCCTACAGTTTCCCCAACAGTAACTACAACGCTGCTTTGTTTGACCGTCGGGGGAAACAAAGGCCGGTGTAACACATAAGTACGGCGCAGGGGAAGAACGTCCTTCACAAGCTGTTGTTGCGCAGTGTATCCCCACAACTTCCCGGAACGTAGTCGGCACCTTAGTTTCGCTGTTGTTGTGAATGGGGGAAGAGGGCGCCAACCATAGGGAACCGTAGGGGGGTCTCTGCCTGTCGAGGGTCTAAGGAACGGGCTTTAGAGAGCGCGGCGATGAGGCCGGGAAGCGCGATAGTGTACAGTATAGTGTACAGGGACGGGGGTAACCGACAGGCAGACACTTCCGTTCGCACCGACCGTTGGGGGAAAATTCCCTGGCAAAACGGCCCCAAAGCCTCTTTCCCACAAAACAAAGGGGGAAAGGGGGCGCCTAGGCGCGGGCTTCAGCTGAAGCCTGACCCCTGTGAAGCGAAGCGAAGAGAGAGAGAGAGAGAGAGTATAGCCGAGCCCTCCTTGACGAAGTCAAAGGGGGAGAGACCAAATCCTGCGGACTGCAGGTGTGCGTTCGCGTGCAGGGAGGGTAGCGTCCGCTGCCTTCCTTCTACCTGGCAGAGAGAGAGAGAGAGAGAGAGAGAGAGAGAGAGAGAGAGAGAGAGGAAGCGAGAGAGAGAGAGAGAGAAAGACAGGGAGAGAGAGAGAGATTTGGGCTCAAGTCGACCCGCCGCTTCCGTTTTGGGGGGGTGCTCGAGGGCGGCCGGGTGGGCCTGCTGTTGGAGCAGATCTGCCGGGTGGACCTCCCTTCGAGCGGGGGAAGGCTTGAGTCCTCCGCATAATCACCGTGGTTGGGACGGGACCACCGAGTTCCCAGGAAAAGATCCGCCGGAAGGACACCTCGGCAAGTTCATGACAAGGGCAGATCCAGACTGCAATCTTCAAACTTTTGCTTCCGTACCGGCATGCACGTGTTTTCAAACTCCCGCTCAAAACCTTGAGTTCTCTCCAACTGCGTTAAATATCTAGCTTGGGTGAAAGCGCTTTCTTTCCTTGTAACTTTGCTTTCAGACGGGCCGCTCGAGTCTCCATATTCCTCGAAACCCCGCCTCCTACCTGAGGCCATGTATCATATCGCACAGATGCCTGTAATTGCTTGACCGGTACCTTTTCAATGGGGCAAATAACCCGTTGATTTTTCGTATGCCGGCTGTTGTGCAAGAAAGCTTCATCAAATCGTCTTAGTGAAAGAAGAGGTGCAGCAAAGACTGAGCAGCCTTTGAAGTCTCAGCTGTTAGGTTTCGAGGGTTTTGCTGTCCTTCCTCGAAGTTTGTTTGCCGCTGCTGTTTTCTCACCTTACTTCCCCAAACCTTGTGAGGGGACACAGCAGTGCCCTCGCGAAAGAGAGAGAGAGAGAGGGAGAGAGAGAGACAGAGAGAGAGAGAGAGAGAGAGAGCGAGAGAGAGAGAGAGAGAGAGAAATAGTCGAAAGGCCTGCCCACTCCTCATGCCCATGAGCAAAGCAAAGATCGTCCAAAACGTCAGCAGAGTTGCTCTCTCAGACCCAAGTGCTTGTGCAGGTCACCCAAATCAACGAGCGAACCTTGGACACGCAGACGCAGGCCTGTCGGCCTGTTGTTTTTCCCGAAGCAAAGTCATACCTCTGGATTGCGACGCAATCGGATCCGGGCAAGGGGCAAGCCCCTTGTAGAGCCAGCATTGTCCGAAATGGGTTGCCATGGAGTTTCGAAAGGAACTGCGGATAGAGACCAAGGCCAAGCTGTGCAAATTCCTGTTTCCTAGCAAGTTCGTTGCGAAGGAGTATTACTCCTTTGGAGAATCCACGTGGGACCTGTTCATGTTCATCGGCACTGGTGCTTCTCAGCCGCAACAATCTGTTGTGACACACCACTTGCATGCGCCGGAGCCCTCAGGTTGCTGTAGCATTCAAAGGATAGCTTCTGGGCCCGGGCCAGTTCAAACTTACGGTAGCTGCGTCCCCCGACTAGGCAGACAACAAATTTTAAACCTGGTGCGCGTCTGGGCATGCGCCACTGCCGCCGAGGCTCTGGGACCGTTGGGCTCCCTGCAAACCTTCGTTTTGGCGAAACTTTGGCAGTTTTTTAATACTTTGGTCCTTGACGGTTGCTGCCGCTGTCGAATGTCGAGTCATGTAGAAAGTAGTATCCGTTCGGTGGATGCTTTAGCGGTGCCTGGAATCCTTCATGTCGACGCGGCATCTTTGGAGTAGTCGATTTTCCCTGACCTGCGGACTTTTCGTCTGGCGGCAAGGATCGTAAACGTCGTCATGCACTTCGGCTGCATTTTTGGGGAGGTTTGGAAAGGCGAAGGAAATCGGGCGAGCCTAGCACTTTAGTGGTTACTGCAGTCGGAGAGTTAGGCCGTGAATTTCAGGAACATGCACCGGACGCAGCTGTTCTTGAGGACCATGTTGAATCGAGCTCGGAGCATTTGCTCTGCAGCAAGGGGGGTTTCATGACCGAACCTGAGTCGGTCGAGTTGTGTGCAAGGTCAGTTCTTGTGCCTGTAAGCTTTGGATCCTTCAGGTCCCGAAATCTGCCCAGGCGAGTTCCCGTTGACTCCATGAGAAGCGACATTGACAGCATTTTGAGCAGACACATTCGAGGCAAGGAATTTTCGTTGGCATCGCCTTGTTCAACTTCACCGACCCGGATATCACTCCGCAAACCATCGAGGACACTCTTCGCTGGCGACGGTCTTCAGGACGGCATAAGCTTCTGTTGGGCACCTGAGCGAGGCTGGTTTTGACACTCAGAGTTGCGAGGACATTCGCTTTCTCAGTATGATGATGTCTCGAAGTCCTCCTTGGTGGCACGTGTCTGCCAGTTGGACAAGCGGCTTTGTCTGTCACAGCAGGTGTTTGAAAGGCAAGAGCAATTTTGTGCCTCACACGAGCGAGCGCAAGTGAGGGCAGGAGACGTGATGTTTCCGACCAATTCAAAGAAGCTCGGGAGCATGAGACATCTAGACAGGTCGCTGCCTGTTTCTGGCATCCAAATGAGCATGTACGAGAACATTCGCCGCTTGTCAAAGAGCTGGTTATTCAAAGGTCAAACTCTTGGAGCGAATTTGAGAGCCTCAGCAGATGCTTGACAGCCTTGTTGTGTCGAGAGTGCTTTGTGCACGAAGAGCCAAGTGCGGGGTAGGGGAGGTGTTGCCCAGGCTCCCGATGGAAGGAAATCCACTCGCCACGCTCTCTCTCTCTCTCTCTCTCTCTCTGCCTCCCTCCCTCCCTCCCTCCCCCTCCCTCGACACTCGCGACTGTCCCTGGAGTCCCATGACTTGCACGGCTGCAGATCTTTCACGCGGCTGGGTCCTGCATCTGATGTCCTTGCATCTCCGCATCCCACTTGTTAAGCACACGAGGTTGCGCAGGAGAGCTCTAACTTTCTTCGTCATGTTGGATCAGTCGCACAGGAAAGTACATCAAGCCTGAAGCGGTGGGTGTGGAACGGTTCTTCACGGGACAGGTCCTTTGTGACATGGCTGCACGGAGCTGGAAGGCAAACTTGCAGTCTTCTGGAGTGCATGGGATCTCAGGAGCTCTAGGCCGTAGACACATGCGAGACCCTTCCTGGCATACATTCCCGAACATACTTGCTAAGCCGATCCTCAAGATCATGGTGCGAGCCAGCACCACATCGCACAACACTCCGATTCGCCGTGTTCATAAAGCTCGCTGAAAAACTCAATCTCCCAGCGCACTTTTCTCATCATCATGTCAGAAGCAGGTCTACGCACGCAATCCAATCGGCCAAATAGCTTTTCTGGGCTCTTGGCAAGGTCTGGTGGCACTGATCTGCCGCTCATCTGGCAATGAGGTTGAGGATCTCATCCCTCGCAGCTCCACGCGAGTTTTTTTCCACCGATGGGAGAGCGCTCTCCGCGACTTGAGGCTGGTACCTCATGGTCGCCAAGGAGGCGGACGGAAGCTCATGAGATTTTTGAACTTCGTGCTTCGCCAAGAGTCACTTCATTAGTCCTCGTCGTGTGTTTCATGACTCCTTGCGTTTGGCAACGAAGCTGCATTTCCACAAACAGTTCACTCCGCTGGCCAAGTTGGGGGATTGAGCAGGTGAGCCACGCACTTGCCCTGCATCGTGGCATCGCCTCGGTCAATCGCGGCCCGACCACGCTCCTCACAAGAGAGACTCACGGCTGCCTCGCTTGCGTCATTCGCACTGTGGAAGCCTTTTGGATTTGTCCGGTGGCAGTAGACCAGGCACGTAGAGTTGGCAGGTCGAACATACAATAGGCCCTGCAATTTTAAAGTCATGATCGTGCGTCACTGCTCAGGAATCCGTTCACGCAGGTGCACGCAGATCTGTTTTGAAACTGTCGTGGGGGAGGTTGAAGGTTGGAAGAAATCGTTCGGGAGACATGTGGCGTCACGACGATCTCATAAGCTTGCAACCTTCCAGTGCTAAAGGCCCAGACACCAGTTCAGTTTGCATCTCCCGGGCAGGTGACACACTACAGGCACCTTGGCTGACGTAAAGCCGGACATTCCAGATTGTAATTGCTTGCGATGTAAGTTCCTTGAAATCAAGGCTCACGGCGGTTTCGCGGCGCCGAAAGGTGATCAGTGCACTTCTCCTAGCTTATCGAATGGTTGCTGCTGGCCTGTTGATCTATGTCGGGACCTTCTTCTTGGCTGCGAGGCTGCTTTGGATTGTGGCCAGAGACCGAATCAGTAGGTGTTTCCCGAATCGAAAACAAGTTTGTCCGAGGTTTACACTGTCAATGTCACAGAGCTCATCCTGAATGCGCTTGCCTCAGCTCAGGGGGGGATTCGACCGCACAGAGTTCACAGATAGAGAGGAAGCCACAATTCTAGACCGGTACCTAAACTCCATAGAGCCAAGCCCACAGCATCCCTGGGCTGCCATAACTCCTCCGACTTGAAACCAACATAATATGGTGCTTCTATCGAGATGCTAGTATCAGAGACGGTGTGCATGAAAGGCTGCACAGGCCACTGTGAAGACTTGCTGGCTCTCTTGCAGGCAGTTGCGCTCGGCATCATCTTAGACATTGATGACTCCAAGCTCAAGAAGTGAGGGGCTGGAGGGCGCGCACTTCCAGTCTGACTCATGTTGTGCTGAAATAAGGTACTTCAAGGAGAAAATCTAACTAGCTTTGCTGATGGCTTTGATTCTTGCTTCTTCCAGCTGCATGACAAGCTCCTGTAAAGAGTCCGCAGCTTCAACTAGCTTCAGGATCTACTTTTCGATGCTCTGGCTACAACACCTGGCCGACATCTGGCGACTCGGCATCAACGGATGTGGCAAGCTAGTGAAGATAGATATTGACATTCGTCAGAGCGATGGGGAGCTCAGGGCAGGCATCTTCAGAAGATGCCCCGCACATCTACGTTTCTTCAGGGTGTTTTGCCGCTTCCTGATTGGAGGGGCATAGTATGCTGGCTCCTCATTACGAGAACTCGGCCAAGAACGGACCCACAAAAACAAGCCCAGAAATTCTTGCAGCTGTCAGCAAGCCGTAACCTCACAAGAAAAACGCGAGAGAGAGAGAGAGAGGACCGCTAACCCACTGCGCTCTTGCGTGCGAAGGGGTGGCGACTGCTGCTCCTTTTGGCTGTGTGGAAGGGGAGAGAGAGAGACTGAGACTGACTGAGACTGAGACGGAGTGGGAGTGGGAGTGGGAGGGGGGGAGAGAGGGGGAGAGGCGAGAGTTCGAGTTCGTCTTTGCAGGTCCACCAGCTGGACTCGTTGCCCATGCCGTCCTTCCCTCGGTTTCGAGGCGGTCTCATTCCTTCCTTAGGTCCTTGTAGCATTGTACCGTATGGTACGATCAATGCCAACCTCGCTGCACGCAAGCACGTCCTTTGCAGCACGACGAAACATTTGCCGAGAAGGGGTGCCATAAGCAGATGATGAAACATCTGGCTAGAAAAAATGAGCATGTGCGCAGGGAGGTAGTGCATATTTCTGCGGACACATAAGTTCCACAAGCCAAACGAGGGACGGACAAGTCCTGATGTTCCTAAAGCTCGGCTGGTGAAGGAGCCGACGCAAAGTCGATGAGCATGAGTTTCCTGAGCCTGAGAAGCACTCAAGCCTCTGGAGAGCTTTCCCATCATGGCGGATGCAATGCTGAGGTTTTGTGAGGTATTCTAGTACGGCATTGCGTGTTGGAGGCATCGTTTGTGCAGGATCATGTACAGCGTTGTGTTTCCTGGACAGCCAGAGTTGCATGATTGATCACGCAGTAGGCTCTTCCTCGCAGTTCGAAGTCTGGTCTCGATGCTCAGGATCCCAGGTCTCACTATACTGACTCTGGGCAGCAGCAGTTCGCTTTGGAACTTTTGGAATTCAATGATGCCTCCATTTGATCATCATACATTACCCTGCATAGGTGAGGAGCGTGACTGCGAGCGATAGATAGAGTGGGATAGAGGGAACGACAGCACATGGCGATTTCATGAGTTATGGCGATGACTGCGGCAGCAGAAGCAAGCAAAGCAGTGAAGCCATTGCAGTCATTACGTAGTCATGGCGGTGTGCTCCAACCAAGTCGAAGTTGGCCTGTCCGGGATCATGCACGCACAGTTCCATTCATTCTGTCAGTGGCGACCTCCGCTGCAACGAAACCATTCGACAAGCCGTCGGAGTAATTTTGTTTGACAGCCTTTGGTTCATCGTGATTCAACTTCATCCGGCATGCGTGATGCAACATGGGCAGCGGTCCCCAGTGGTGAAGCCACGCGCTTTGAAACGCCCAGGATTTACTTTACGATGCTGGCTCCCATTGTTCAGACCCTTACAGACGTGTCAACTGCGATGTGCGGCGGGGCACATGAGTTCGTCTGGACGCTCGACAAGCGTGACTTGGCATCAGAGCCGTCATAGCCAAGAAAGTCGCTGGGCTTACCACTCCACAGTCACAGAAGACTTGCTAGCGGAGACATCAAATCAAGAGACACTCGAGCTTATTGGGGAGTGTGAGTGGCAGCATCGTGATGCCATGGAATGTGGGGGCCCAGGCAGGGTCGTGCTGATGTCCCCGACGACCGGTGGTGGTTGGGACAACCTCTCTGGCTCCATCCAGATGCTTGGCAGCATATTGGAGCTGGAACGTAGAGGGCCTGGAGGTTTCACACTGTGCAAAAGAAAAGAGCGATAGCGATGCTGTCCGACTGTCCGTTTGATGGTGATTTGTCCACTGCATGGAAACAAGCAAGAGGCTGACGTCTTGCTGAAGGTACCTGGCCGTAGATGAGGCAGAGGGTTTGCCGACAGTCGACGGTATCCCCAATCTGGAGGCTATCCAAGCGCCTTGGAATTTTGTGGACTTTCGTTGTTCCTGGATGGGGTAGACTCAAGCCAGGCATGCAAAACGGTCGTCCTTGTAGGCGAATAGAGTTCATTGCTGTGCATTTTTGGAATCTGCTTACGTTGAACCGCCAATGACCGTCGATGCCAAGGAGACGGAGTACGGATTTTGGGTGAGAGAGGTGAGCCTTGCCAGAAGAGTGGGAAAGAGCAGCACTGAAAAGCGCTACATCAAGGGGGTGCTGGGCCCCTTGCTTGCTGACATGCTGGTTCCATAGGGGGCCTGTGCATCATGATGAGCTTCGGGTTTCCAAGGAGCAGATTGACAGACGCCTCTGTTCTATCCTTGGACGAAACCGTGGATGCCTACAATCCCGACTGTGGAGACATCGGCAACCAGGACCTCATGTTTGTTCAGGGCCGGTTCTCACGGCTCGAATTCGCCCAGTCACCAGGAGCCGATCCTGAACTACTTGAGGAATGCGGTGGGGAACCAGAGTCTTCGAGGCTGCGCTGATGCAAAGCCATACTGCGGCTCGTCCCGGGTCTAAGCTGAGTTGTGTTGCACTGGAGCTGTGCCCCGCAAGAGCCATGGTCATGTAAAGCCCAGGCGACTCCATAACCAAGATGCCGGGTTGGACAAACGATGGTGGAGCTGGCTTCACAGTGCGAATGTTTTGCTCGGAGCCTTGGCATGGAAATCTGCAGAGCTGCCGGTTGCACCCTGCGAAAGACTTTGCTCCACTCCTAAATTAACTTACATGTTTGTTGCGACCGACTTGTCACATTAATCGGGCCTGTCAAGGAAACTTGTGGCTGCACTGATCCAGGGGGCGAAAGTCTACATATCGAGGCTGGGTGTGGAGCAGTGGGCCAGCCTGTTCTCGTACCACTGCCCGAAACTTCAAACAACGAGCTGCGCCGTGTTGTGCAGGGCTGTCCATACGGCAAGGGCCGCCCGTGCTGGAAAACAGCAGCTTTCGAGGATCTCGGCTGCCGAGATGTAGACAAGCGGATGCTACTGCAGACCGGGCAGACTCAGTGGGTGCACATTTCTGCGAGGTCACTTGCTAAAGCTGCGAGAATCGAGAGTTTGGCCCAAAGTGGACAGTCATTTCGTTAGCAGCTTTGGTTTTTCTCGTGCGAATTGTTTATCGTGGACTTCCGAAATCGAGTAGGGAGTCAGTCCCACTTCCCTTGTACCGGACATGACCACATGCATGCAGGATGCAGTCGTCACCGCGGTGTGCAAAGAAAAGAGCGCGGAGGAACTGCGAAACTTCACGCCGTGGATCAGCTGGGTGAACACCATCGAGGTGGCACATTCGGAGGGGGGGGACACCAACCTTCGCCGCTACTCCTCGTCTTACAACTAAGGCTGCTACTGTTAGTTAATTGACATTCTTGAGTAAATGTACGTGACAGTGGCTATGATAGTATTATAGAATGCTGCAACGCCATGTCTCGCCGAAGCGCTTGGCACCACACAGCCCCGCAGAGCCCCTGGTCCAGAGGCATTCAGCCAGGAGGAGGGCAGCCTGATGGGGAAGCCCGAGGCAGCCCGCTTGGCACAGGCCGATCTTGTCTTTAAAGCAGTAGATTGCAGGATGTCCTTCAGAGGCTCAGGTTCTTGAATCAGAAGATGGCCTGTTCTGCGTGGCACTTCTCTCAGGGCTCATGCCGCTCGACCAGGGCAGAGTCCAGGGTTCAGCAAAAGTTCGCAATCAGTTCTCTCCATTTCCTGGTCTGGTTGGCATTCTGAGCCGCTCTCACACAGGCTATGTGGGAGCACGGATGTGGCTTCGCCGCGAATCTATCAGCAGAGATCCTCGGGTCCTGTTCGGCTTCAACGAGGGTTCTTACGCACCAAGCCTTGGGAGCTTTGCACTGTTTCCTTGAGGATTTCAGCTCTCCAAATGCCAACATGTACAGGTGCTGGAGTCCACTTTTTGTGCTGTCTGCCCAGGAACATCAGCTGGGGCACGTGTGATCAGTGGAACACCACTTTCGATTGGCACTGGAAGACTGTCTCATACTACTGCCCCACGTCTTGAAGCTTGTCAGCAATGGAGGATACAGGCGCAGGTTGACAATACCCGTGTTCCTGGCTCGTGTGTGACATCAACCTTGCATGCTGAAGTTTTTGAAGTGGAGGGCGACCGGACCGCCAAGGGCATGAAGGTATCATTTCAAAGTTCTATTTCATGTCGAAAACAACAGGTTCACCGCAGAGGTGATATCAAGATTACAACTCCGCATGTTTCAAAATCGTCACCGTATGGTTGTGCCCCGGCGGGTCACCCCCACCTCGAGCACGTGGACCGTTTAATCCATGACTCCACCTCTGCGTGCTGTAGCGTGATGTCTTGGCTCGCTGCTCCCCCAAAGTTTCACTCCCAACTAGGGCTTGTAAGCTTGCAGTGGGCGGGGATACCATGAGCGATGGAGGGGAGACGGGGACACCGAACGCACACCGCACAACCACCAATGACCTATGACTCGTCTCATATTCTCTGATGCTTTGCCACATGTGTGTCAGCGCCTCCAGGTTCCTGTGGCTGGGACAGCCTCTTGGCTCGACAAGCCCAGAAATTTGCGGCAACTGTGTGCCTCAATGCACAAGAGCATTGTGTAGTGACTGGCGGGATGTTGTTGCGCTTACGCAACCTCTCGTGGCCTCATGCCAAATGCATGTTTGCAGGCTTTCCAGGGTTCTAGCTTCAACATTCCCTGCTTCCAAGGCCTGCACATTCCGTGCTTTTAAGGGGGTAGGGGGTGGGGTGGGGTGGTGGACACACGTTGGTGGCTTCATCGCCCTGCAGCCTTTCAGGGCAGATGCCAGCGAATCATATTAAACGTTGCTTGCTCTGCGGACGCTCTACTACTACTACTACTACTACTACTACTACTACTACTACTACTACTACTACTACTACTACTACTACTACTACTACTACTACTACTATACTACTACGACTACTACGACTACTACGACTACTACTCCTCCTACTACTACTTCCACACGCAGCATAGCGTGAGTCTCTGCTAAGCACCCGTAACTGCTACTACTGCTACTCCTCCTCCTCCTCCTCCTACTACTACTACTACTAGTAGCAGCACGACGTCTCCTGCATTTACCTCAAAGTCAACTTTTCAAAAGACGCACGAATTGCAAAAAGAAATCTTCCATACCATACACTGATACACCTCCGAGCCCTTGAAAACAGTGGCAAGCGTGTCACTTTTGTTGCTACTTCAGTGTGCTCGCGGTTTCAAAGCAAGACGAAGACCCATTCGTAAAGCGCACTTACCAGGAATTTACATGAATTTTGCTGGCATTCGTGGGATAAACGCACGAGTTGTGTGCAAACTCCACGGCGCCACTGCGTGACCTTGTTCGCAGCCCCTTCCTGACAACAGGTCCTGCAGAGAGCACCTGTCCGTTGCCGCTGGGGCGGACTTGCGACGACCTAGAGGAGCCTTGACGAAACTAATGAACTGACGGTTTGAGGACTCGGAGTTCGTCCCAGAAGAAGGGCGTCCGAACTGGGCTTGCTGTACGTGCTAGACTCCACGGGCTCCACCCGACTCATCCCGCAACTGGAAGCTTAAGAGGTGTGTACCGCTCCCATGCTTGAGCAGGGCAGACTGTACTCTAAGGATTGTCTGTTTGCCAACAACCAGTACTACTGTCCCGAGAATGCACCAACGATCAAAGGCCGGCTCGGAGTGTCAATGGAAGTGTGTTATCAGGAACGCGAAGAAGCGACTCCACCTTCTTTGCGATGCATGGCTCTGTAGGGAGCAGAGCGATGCGTACAAGTTGCGAAGCCTGGATATTCGACACCGCACTTGCAGACAACTTGCTTATACTGCAAACGAAAATGCGCATCAACGAACTCGAGTTGTGTCCGCAATGGCTGACGCAGCCAGCTGTGGCAGCATAAAGGAAGAATTAGAAATTGATGGACCGCCGTGAGTCCTGAGCTCACCCCACCTAAGGCTGCACCTGGTGTTGGACTGCTTGAAGTCGTATCGCACCGCACAGGAAAGCAATGTGAACACTGTAACACAGAACTAGAGTGCACACCAGTGCTTGTGCAAACGTTTGCTCAGGCCAAGCGTTGAAACCAAATGTGCCAACCGTTACTGTAGTGGCAGGCAGCCTCGTCCTGGACATAAGCAATCCTGTGTTGATGATTCCGTGCCTGGGCGTAGACAAGGGGTCCCTAGCTCATAAGCTTGCCTTGTATTGTTGTTCCCAACGTTCTTTCATCTCAAGCTCTGTTGTAAGTTACCTCTTCTCGACCCTGAACCTCCAAGGCCCTGTACCGTAGAACGGGGTCATGAAGCAACCTAGTTTGTGGGCAGCGATCCTAGCAATGACAGCACCTCGAATTTAGATTGGAAGCTACTGGTGCTGTTGAGTGAATAGCCTGATGAGCTCGCGCCCTTTTCAAGTCGCGACGCTGTTGTGTGCACTGTTGTGGTTGGCGGAATGTGATGTTGTCTAGCTTTGCTGAGTCAGGCTTGTGTCTCCTCCCAGCAGAGAAAGGGCCTTCACATTTGGGGCACCTGAAACCTGAGGCATGTGGATTCCGTGGGCATCGCCATCCAGGAGCTGGTTGTCCCTAGCCTGGAAGCCATCTTGGCCCGCCATGCAACTCTTGGCTGTCTGCCTTGGGTCATCTTGGGTCATTGGTTCCGCAGGTCCGCAGATGCCCTCAAACTGGACACTTAGTTATTTGTCTCATTCGGACTCATCGGGATGCGTGCCGACATGCACGGACGACTTTTCGCTCGTGCAAACAAGACAGTATGCTTGCTCGGAACGTTCTCGGCATGTTAGTTTGCGGCTTGCATAGCACGTGGGAGTGTCTTGAATTCAGGCTCAGCTTGCTGGAAATGGTGTTGAGCCGTGGATGGTCTACCCCTCAGCGCCTTGCCGTCGTTTCAGCTTCTCTGCCTCGGCGAGTGCAACATCATGAAATCCCACAGGTACAGTGCACTGCAGTAGCATAATGGCTGCAATTACGGAACCAAAACGCGCACAACCGTATCTGTTGAATCCTGGGCCCGCTAAAACTACGTCTCGACCCCTAACGGTTATTGTTTAGGTGCTTCTTTGGGCTCCCATCGTAGCCCTAGAGTATCAGGATTGTCCACTACTGCGATTTCACAACTCCAGGCTTGTGGCGAAGCCCTACGCGCCCCAGCCGAGCTGTAACACATAATTACTTCCAACTTCCGGGCCAGAGCAGAGAAGAGTCTGTTGAGAGGAAGGAGTCCGGCCTGGCTGCCGAGCGGATGTGTTGAAGCCCAGAACTTCAAGTTGCTTTCGTTGGAAGGCCGACACGCACTGAAGCTACTTGTATCCATGTCCTGGCTACTTCACTGACTAGGGCGATCCAGTACCGATGATCCCAGCTTGTCAAGACAGCATGAACAGGTCCGAAGTTTGTGTATGCTCATGTTGGAGTAAACGGGAAGTAGTCGATAACCAGGTGGTTCGATTGCAACAGTTCGTCAAACTGCATGACATCACAGGGATGGGCGCGCAAGATTCTCTTTGCATACATGCTGAGGAAGTCGGCGGCATTCCGGGTCTTGGAAGACGCCTCGCAATGGTGCAGTTGGAGTGGCCTGGCCTGGTCAAGTTCTGTTATGGACAGCGTGGGCTTGTTCTTGTACCGGTTTGCCATCGCAGCCGACAGATTGGCTTGGCGGCAACCGTTCATGTTCTGGCAATTAGCATTGCCATAGATGGCTGCAGGTTTCAGATCTACCAGATCGGGGGCAACATGGACGAAAACGATATCAAGAAGAACCTCCAAGACGGTGAATCCAGCCAGGCCGGTAAAAGAGCCCCCTTGTTGCGTTCTTCGTTGCTGTCCTGACACCCCGAGATGACTTCCATATTCATCACCGCCTTGGACGGTATGGGTGTCGAGACAGGCGCTTGGGGCCCCTCGATCAACATCACAGCTTCCACAGGGCATGCATGTGTGGGATAATCCAGAAAGCAAGCTTCCTGTTAAACTAAACTGCCACCACTTCAGATGCGAGCTCAGGACTGTCAGTCCAATCTATCTCCTTCGGACGGTCTATGCCTACCGTGCCAGATAGTGGTAGCGGCTCTGGAACTGGTACTGGCACTGGAAGTGGCAGTGGAAGTGGCTCTGGAAGTAGCCAAGATGGTGGAGATGGTCCGAGTGGAGACGGCACTGGTGGAGATGGCGATGACGGTTCTGGCGACGATGCAGGTGATTCTGGCGACGGCAGTGGAAGCGGCAGCGGCTCAAGCGGCAGCGGCAGTGGCCCAAGCGGAAGTGGTCCTAGCGGGGATGGAGATGATGGTTCAGGTGACGACACTGGCAGTGGCAGTGGGCCTGGCAGTGGCAGCGGCCCCAGCGGAGATGGAGATGATGGTTCTGGTGATGATACTGGTGGTGGCAGTGGCCCCAGCGGCAGTGGCACCAGTGGGGATGGAGGTGATGGTTCTGGCGGCGACACTGGCAGTGGCAGCGGCCCAAGTGGGGATGGAGGTGATGGTTCTGGTGACGACACTGGCAGTGGCAGCGGCCCAAGTGGGGATGGAGGTGATGGTTCTGGTGACGACACTGGCAGTGGCAGTGGCTCCAGTGGCAGCGGCAGTGGCACCGGCAGTGGTTCTGGCACTGGTACTGGCAGTGGTTCTGGTAGCGACACTGGCAGTGGCAGCGGCTCCAGTGGCAGCGGCACCGGTCCTGGTACTGGTACTGGTAGTGGCCCGGGTGGAAGATAGTCAAGCCCAGAGGCACGAGACGACTTCCCTGCATCTGGGCCTTGTAACCAGGAGTGCTTCTTTCATCGCTGCTGACAGCCTGGTGGTTTGACTCTGACTGGCGAATTTGGACCTACGCAGTATCACCTGCGCTTCTTAGGATCCGTATCATGTAAGTACTGGGTTCTGACCATACGAACTGCCCCCAAACACGCCGCAGTAAAAGCGTCTTGAGGACAGGAACAGTCAGCACCGCCACGGAGACTTGAGGGTTGTTTTTCTTTGCGCGGGGGATGAAAGAAGCATTGAAGTATATTGTGGTCTGTGTGATAGAGCTTTCCAAGTGGCCACGAGCTGGTCCACATATCCAGCAGCAGTCTTACCGTGGTGCGATTTGAGCGTGCTTTTCGTTTTAGCAGTTTCGCTCATCCCTTTGTTCCAAAAGGCTTCGCTCGATGATCCTTTGGTGCCTGATCCCACTGTCCTTTCACTCGCCTGTCCCTTGGCACTTCGCAGGCTCCCCATGGAGACAGTCCTTACGTTCATCTATACTGCCCTCCCAAGCCCAAACAAAGCCAAGCCATCTTGGAGATTGCCGTTTGTTGGCATCGTGCTTACTGGCTTTTTCTGCCGCCATACTCACGGTGGCATCGTGTTGTCTTCTTGGAAAGTCATGCACAGTGAGTCAAGCACAAGACTTCTTGCATTATGGTTTATCATCTGGCAATCGCACAGGGCCAGAAGTGTAGCCGCAAGTCCTCTGAAGCCAGGCTACGAAATCAGCAAAGCCTTGCCGAACCTCAGAAGCTCCGCCTTGAGAGCCTAAGCGTGTGGCAGATCGGCTTGAAGAATTTTCAGGACTCACAGGCCTACAAAATCCTACGGCATCCTACAGCCCACACTCGTGTTCTTTATCCAACCAAGCTGTCGCACCTTGCCCGCGCCACGTCGTTTTGGCCGCTCACGTTCCCTCAAGGCTAACACCCGTGTCTTTGCGAAGCAAAGAAGAGGCGTAGCCTCGGACAACGATCAAAGGCCGACCTATGCCCGGCCCACGCACAAAGGGCGTCCTGTCGTGCACATATCTGCAGGATGTTGAGCCATCCACCGCCAGAAAAATGCTCCTTGACGGTCTGGCAAGTCAGCGAGCAGGGCTCGGCTAGCAATGTAGTCTACAGCTGGGGCACTGGATCTTAAAGCGGGGCTGATGACTCAAGCCGCTCATGATTGCCGCTTGCATCCCAAGGCTCCTTCACGTGCAACAAGCCGCCCTGGAACTGCCTCCAGGCTTTGCAGTTTAGGGGGATAGAGAGCGGGAGAGCACAACAGAGATCTAACCCAGCGGAAGCAGCAGAGTTTCACACACCGACCTCGAACGTGGCACGAGCTCTTGTGCGCAGAAGGTGCCGTGATGACGAAGTGGAATGACGACAGATCTAAGTTCCAAGCCTTGCAAGATTAACAGATGCCAAGCAATTGTTGCCGAAGCCCCAGTGCAGGAATGTGCAGGAAGCCCCCCTCCGCGCATGTATCTTCAAGATCCTCCCCTGCGACAGCTCGGCACTCCTAGTTGAAGAACGGCAGCAAACATGAAGCTTGCGAGAACACAATCAAGACCAAGACAAGCTCGTGCAGCCAGTGTTCTTGCTTGGGCACGCGTACATCTTGAGTCTTTTCAAGCTTTCTGAGTTAGGCTCACCAGAGATGTCTAACCCGAGTTTAACGTTGCTGGTCCTGTCACCGATGAGCTTATGTCCGGTGCACGAGCTGTTTGTTAAAGGTCGCTGATCTGAGTGAGCAGCATAAGAACCTGAAGCGTGGGAGACCTAACGGGCGAGCAATCCCACAGCTGTTCATTGTCTGACTTCCTATGCAGGTCGCGGCCTCCGTCACGACCTCCGACAGCAAATTCCGTGCATCGGCAGCATCCGCATGGCTGAGTGGAGCCTTGCAAAGTCTGGTCTGCAGCATTTCTCTTGGACCAAATCTACATCTGTTATTTTCTGTGTGTACATATACACGCACATACATATACATATATGTATATAATATCTGAGCAGATTTTGCTCCACCTACAAGTTTGTTGGTAGATAGCTTGAATTTGCAACATCTGCACGAAAGCACATGTAGAAGACGTCACTGCCTTTGCTGCGGCAAGGGCTTACCAAGTTTTGAGATCAAGCATTTTCAGACATGCTTCATTGTCCCGAGTACTTACTTCGAAGAGATCACACTTGAGGCGCTGTCTGAACCTGCTGATAACTGCAAATATTCAAGGATCTCTAAATTGTGAGAGATCTGCTGCCCTGCAAGTGATTTGGAGCTTGTGCCCGCCAATCAGGGTTGGCTAAGCCGCCAAGTGGGCCACGGCCCCGTATCACGATCAAAGGTGCCGTCAATCCGAATCGCTTGTTTCAATCCAACATTGCATCTAAACCTCAGGTGCTGATGTTGTAAAAAGAAAAGAGCTACTCGCGTCCTCGATCGTTTGTGTTGCCAGAAACCTGTGCCAGAGCATTGCCCAGACAGGCGTTGTCACAGTCCGAGTCTGGCCATCTGGACGAGACCTCTGGCTGTTTCATGGACGCTAGTGTATGTCTCATGACACGTTGGTGCAGCTGATATCATAGAGGTTTCCGTCGCATGGAACGATCTTGAGCGTAGCAGAACCCGAAAGAAGCCTCGCTTTCCGATGGCCCGACATGGCGTTGCTCCTGGGCTCAATCCTTGGACCTGGGCAGCATGTTGACTTCTTCAGCCACCCTCAAGGCGGGAGCCGAGAGGTGTGGGCGGTTTGTGCCTGGGACACATGGAGTGGTATACGGTAGCCGCTTGGCCGAGCTTTTTTTTGGATCCTGGGTCGGGCCCTGGGCCCCTGAAGGGCTCGTGGTGCTCGACCACCGGCTATGCCTTCCGCCGGATGACGGCATCATTTACCACGTCAGGCATCGAGAGAAGCCCAACTGCAGCATTGCACCTGCAAGCACAGCATTTGCTGCCGGGATTTCGGGAAGTCTGTGGAGCAATCCGTTTCCCCCATCGCCCTTGCCAGTATGTGACCCTACGAAATGTGAATGCAGTATTATATCGCGGTTATATGATATGCTCTTAGGTTATCCGGGAAGTCTTGTGCATTTTGGAATTACCAGGGCGGAGCTCGTCGCCTCTGCGTCGCAGCGGCTGCGGCTGCAGTCACTCGTCTCGTGCACTGGCGCACTGTTTCTATGGCAGCGGTGCTGTGGATCGGTGTAAACCAGGCATATCGGTTGATTCCACCGACCCAGAGCTCTCGCCAAGGCTGTTCCGACCGGACCCGAAGCCCCAAGTGTCGCAAGATGAAGCAACAGGCAGGAGATGCAAAGCAGTCGCCGATTTGACTTATCCATTCCACTGGCAGGGTACTGGCTGCTGCATGAAGTGGAGCACGAGATCGACGAAGGAACCTGGGTGTCGATTTGGACGCGACGCGTCATGACCGTCATGATATGATTTCATGCACCACCCGTGTCTCGCCAGCATGACAGGATCTCATTCGATCGACTTGCCCTTCCCCTTCCGTCCGGGAGGCGGGGCTCATTAGCGTTCAAGTGAGATAGGTGACTCCGACATCGGACGGCCTCTGGCACATACTTGGTGTGCCAATCTTGGCGGTTCCCTGTTCACTGACAGACTGCATGGGCTGGCAATCGCGGGACCACGGCGTGATTGGCTTTGACGAGGACTGGTCCATGCTGCTCGTGCTAGTGCTGCGTCAGGCCAAACCCGAACAGCCGATCAAGATCAGGACGAAGGAGGCGCTTCGGTACTGCTGCTGCTGCCTGGAGCTGCCCTTCAAAGCGGCGAGCGACTTGCGAACCCCACCAGCATGATGCCGAACTCGGTAATGTCGGTTCAGGATTCCGGGTTCCGGGTTCACGTGTGACAGTTCAATCGATTTGGAGCAGCTCTCAATAGCTGTGTTCGTCGATGTGCCGTTGCGAGCAGTGCCACCGCAAGCATGTCCTGCAGAAGTTTGTCCTGCATCGAGGAGAGAATCCTTTGCAGGTCCCGCAGCTTGACTTCATGCTCGGTCAGCCAGAATTCATAATTCAGCGAGGGCTGCCCGCTGTGCCAAGTAGCACAGCCAGCAAAGCAAGCCCTGCCATCTTCGGAGACGCAAGGTGCCACGGCGATATGCGATAAGCCTTGCAGCGCATGCGGTGGCATCGCATGAGGGCGATTCTACTGCGACCGCCTGCATGATGCAGGATGCGGGGGTTGCGCTTGTACCACCTTGGGCTTCATTGCTTCACGGGGTCAGGGTATTAGTCAGAAAATTCAGAAGATGCAGGAGTTCACATCAACAAATGCTAGGCCCTTGAGTCGGTCTTGCCTGCAAGGCGATTGCACTGTCTGCTGTTCTTCAGGAAGATCATTGGGGGCTGTCCTCGTCGTCGGGAATGCAGCGTCTGCCTCAAGGCAGATCGCCTAGTGATCAGGTCTTGTCCAAACTCTACAGTAGTAAACCTTCGTAGCATGCCGTTACTTGGCACATGGCCAGGTGATGGCTTCTGGTCTCTTGGAAATCGCCGTCTATGCGAACACTTTGATCACGAGTTCGTGTCAGGCAGATTTGGGACCACGGCGATTGGCCGAGTAATTAGCCAGTATCATGTAGTGTCCGTCGGCGCAAGCATCAGTGGCAGTCATGAGTCGCAAGTCTTGTCGAGTCTGGCTTTTACAAGATCAGATTGTTTCTGCTCCCGCAGGAAGCACAGCACCTGTGAATGAGGCCGATTCCACTTTCATGGAGAGCAGGCTCCTTTGCAGCGCGGCACTCACCATGCAGCAGGGCATGGCATGGGTAGGCTTGCTTGCAACTTGCGACGCAAGCCCCTGTCCGTTGGTGCATAAAGGGTCTGCAGGGTTCTCTCTCGTTTGCTGTTTGCTTGAATGCCGGCACAGGTTCGGCCTGTGCCACCCGAAATGTATCCAAGCCGATGTGGTGGATGTCGCCGAGCGGCTTCTGGACGCTTTGGCGCCGAAGGCCAGGAACGGGAAGAGCAAACAGAGCGGCAGATTTTTCGCTTCGGAGCGCATTCTCTCGCTTTGAAGCTTTTGCAGGCCAGTGCC